AAGATGTCACACAAACATTATAGGTAGACTTAAGTAGAATAAAATACAGTAAATATGTAGGATATTGCTTCCATAACTTTAAGAAAATGGAGGAATATGGATAATACAGATTGTTTAAACAGATTTGCTGCTTCAGTAGAGAGCGCAGATCATTGTTGGATATTTGACAAGATTAATGTAATGGAAACTGACAATCTCTCAGCTATTTGAGATTCTGTTTCTTTCCCTCTCACTGGCTCTCTTGTAAGCGCTACATACCACATTCATTTGTTCTAAAAACAGACTCCTCCTCTTTCTTTGTCTCTTGCCTTCACTCTGCGCAAGCACCAACACCCACATGTGTGCACCTCCATGCTGGCGTATGTGCGTATGAAAGTGTTTCTCAGTGGAGTTCTGCGCTGCTTTATCTCGGATGTTCGGCTAGGTGAGCATGATATAACTGCATGTGCAGACAGAAGTCATTACCAAGTGCATGCTCTATATTCAAATGTATACATTTTCACTTTTTATGTAGGAGCAAATTGATTTCATAGATGAAATCTTGGGAGATTATTTATCCAACATAATAAACAGTAGAACTTGATGAATGCACCAGGGTTTTACGTCATTTGACTTGCTTCCATTTATTCAAGATTTCCCCCAGCAGCCTCAACCAAATCACATTTTAATCAAGGGGAGTGTGAAGTGTAGTATTCATTAAATGTAAGCCCCTCACTCGGTTACTCTCTCTCTCATACACACACAGAGCAGAGCCCATCTGGTACGGGTCAGGGTTGAATAAGAGAGCCTGTCCCTGGGGACGTGTACCCTCTTCTCAACATGTGGCTATGCTCTCTCTCTCTCTCTCTCTCTCTCTCTCTCGCTCTCTCTCTCTCTCTCTCTCTCTCTCTCTCTCTCAGTTCTTGATCACTGTTAGACAGAGAGAGGCAGGAGGGCTTAGGCCACACCTGAGGCCCTCTAGCACAAGACTGCAAATGACTCTAATCCAATTCAAGTTACCATAGACCATTCTTCTCACAATATATTGGATTGAGTTTATCATAACCATTTTAAAGTGACCATTTGCACATTTTTGTATTTTATTTTTCTAAATTCCATTTATGACAATTGTGTGTTATCATTCATTTTTATATGACCATTTTCCAGCCTGACTTTATCTCAGAATTAAAACGCCTGTTTTTGTTACTGTGACTTCAATATATGCAAATGACCTCTGTTCTGAATGTGTCTTATTCATAAAGCATTCCGCACTGAAACACTTCTTATAACTTCAACGTGGATAAAGCTACTGTTGAGGCAGATGTATGTAAATGTACTGGTTTTTGTGACCTCACAGAAACAATAAATTCGAAACAGGATACTCTTGCAGTTTAGGTTCCACCTTATGGACTGGGTATATAATTTTTTTCATTTTTAATAATGTTTACATCCTACATCAAACTCAGTTTATGTAAAAAAGCACATACATTTTCCTCATGAAATAGGCCCTATCAACAAGACTAGGATTTAAGCTAAGTCTAACATAGATTCTTCACTTTCTCTAAAACGTGATTGGGAGTGCTCTGAGGGTATTTATTGCTCAACCAGCCTCCACAGAGTAGGCTAACACAGCTGCTTAGTCCTTTTAGAGAAAGAAATCTACAATGTCAGATCACAGCAGCCCGCTGCCCCTGCAGGAACTTCACTATTTTGGGATGGTGTGAACAAGATGGGGAAGGGGGAAGTAGCTCCCACTTCCCAGAGAGGTGTTAATAAGTGATGAAATATTCATCTTGCCTCAATCAGCGAGAACAAAGAGGTCTGGCTATACAAGTGATGCAGACATTAAAGCACTATGAAGCAGGACTCTCTACTTATTTCATCTACATTCTAACCACAGTAATTTTTTGTGTAAATGTAAGTGATTTTCTTAGTGCAAATGGGTGTCTTTTTAAACATTAACAATTTAGCACTGCTGGGTGTGGAAACATGCAGAGGCGGAACAGCATGTGAAATGAAAAGAGAAATACAGGCATTAATAATACTGAAACACTGATAAACAAAAAGCATAAAGGAAGTCATTCAGAAAGTGAGTTATGTGAATTCTTTCTAGGTCAACACTGCATTTATGATTCATACCTGAGCTACATCAGGCCTACCAAGGGTGGGAGAGGAGGAAGGAAAAAGAAATATAAATACACAGTTGAAAACTAAAGAATGATCATTTGTAGACAATGAAATCAAACATGGTTTTTAAGAATAAGTAGAAATAATTGATGGCGTTATATGCAAAAGTTTGGGCACCCTGTTAAAATGACGTTTTGTTGATTATCTAAATGAAAAGTAAACACATTCTCCACAGAGAACACACTTTTTATTTGCTGAATTTAATATACTGGGTAAAAACATAAAATATGGCACTTGCCTAATTTTTTCCTAATGAAATTTTTAATTTGACTTTTAAATGTATTTGTTTAAAATCATGTTTTAATCATGGTTTTAATTTTTATTCTCTTCTATCTTTTTACATTTTAATTTGAATTGTCTTTGTATTTTCTCATTTGTAAAACACTATAAATAAACACAATGTATGTAAGGTGCTTTGTAAATAAACCTACCTTCCCTTGCCTTGCCATGTGCAAACTTTATGGCTTTTTTTCTTTTTTCTTTTTTTTTATTTTCTTTTTTTAATATGGTTAATTCTACTAAAATTGCCATATTTACATGTGTTCCCTGTAAAGAATGTGTTAACTTATTTTCACTTAGAAACAAAACATTACATGTACAAAATTTTTCATAGTGGCTTGATATAAAATAGTTGGGTTATATGGTTATAAACAATGACTACAGCACAAATGTAGCCAATTTATTTACTATGCAAAACAACCAGTGAATCTACATGCATCTTCTGAGTTTTTATATGTGATGTTGATATTAATAAAATCGTGCTAAATATAAACAAATCAATTTTCTTTGGAAATTAGTTTGGCTTAAAATAAGAACAACCAAAAAGTAGGCTGAAACCATTTATTAAAACTGCCATTAAACAGTGTCTCATGCATCAGGCCACACATTCATAACCAGTTCATGTATAGATTTCTGAGAGGGAGTTTTTAGAGACATTAAACACTCTGATTCCCATCTTCACTGTTGTGAACTCAGCTGACTCTGCATTTCACATCAAACCACTCTGAATGACTTTGTGTACATCTTAACAATTTAATTATTTTTAGGTGGAATTTCCCTTTAATTTAGGATCTATTGTGTAAGATTACCATTTCTTCTTCCTCTTTTGCTACAACTGCTCTGAGGCCTCCAGCACTGTTAATATTGGAGCGTGCATGGCTGGGTGTGAGACTGGGTGGATTTATTAGAAATGTAGTCATGGTGGGAGGGGGGTGTTGGTTTGTCGACGGATAATCATGTTTAGGCCACGCTGAGCCCTGCTGAGCTCATGTCATTAAATAGTCATTCTGGATCTTGATTAGAATTCTCAGTCCCCAAGAGACCCCTGGATACCCCTTCACACCTGCCCCCGGAGCCCAGCTCATCTTTTACATAAAACACACAAGCCAAAAAACAACCACACTACTTCTTTATTCCACCTCAATAATAAGGAAGTTGTGCTCCTAGCTGTACAGTAGACCTTTTATTTTATAAAGAGCACATGAGGTGCTCATTTAGAGAGAGCTCACCCAGTGAGATCATCAGCTGGGTGAATATGTCAGCAGGGCAATTGGCGTGACTGGTGTGGTTGGTTAGCTGTGGGAAAACATGTTCAGGTTGGCTGGCGACAGGATTGTGTGTGCTGTCACATCAGCACATGTGCGAGAGTCAGCCAGCCTAGGTCATTAGTGTGTCTGCTAGCTTGTCTTGCTCCACAGCCGCTCACTGTGCATCCGCAGAATGCTATTCAAACCGGAGCAGGAAACTGTGAAAGATTTTATATGGTGCTAGATTCGGGCTATAAATGTAACACTTGAAACAGATGCTTTAATTTTATAACAAATATTTACAATAATATAAGTTTTCTTAAATTACAAATGTTATTGCATTTTACTGATTTCTGGGAACTGATGACCATTCTTTCAGTACAAAATAAGTGTAAAAATTAACCATTGCAGAGATATCTTAATTATAATTATATAACTATCTTAACTATAATTATAATAGCTGGAGTCAGTGAATCAGTAGATTGGTGTGTAGTGTTATCTGTAGAGTGTAGTTATGAGACATGGAGTCAGTGAATCAGTAGATTGGTGTGTAGTGTTATCTGTAGAGTGTAGTTATGAGACATGGAGTCAGTGAATCAGTAGATTGGTGTGTAGCGTTATCTGTAGAGTGTAGTTATGAGACATGGAGTCAGTGAATCAGTAGGCTGCTGCATGTAGTGTTATAGTTGTCTGTGGAGTGCAGTTATAAGAGGTGGGGCTTGTATGCATCACCTGTAGTTGTGTACAGTGTACAGTACTGGCAACTGAGCTAAATTTCAAAGTAATTAAATTTTTTTGAATATGTGTCTATATAGACTATTCACAGTTTATTTACTTTTAAAATTTACATTATTATTCTTCACTGTGTGCACTGATAAAATATGAAAAGTGTTCTGTGTTCCCAAATGTAAGATTTAAATGAAGGAGATGGTCAATTTCAGAAAGCCTTACAAGTACAAACACAAGCCCACAATGTGTCCAACCACAACTTACAGGGAAGGCCATTCAGCACTCTCTTGCAAAGCGGCTAAAAGATATTGATTGGTCATTCATTTAAATCTAATTTGCTTGTGGTAATTTGTCTTTTTTTGCAAGAAACAAAGTTCAATAACCTCAGTGTAGTCCTGTGTGGTCACTAGGGAGGAGCCATTAAGTGTCTATCAAGTGTTGTACTACACAACATTTTAAAAGCATTTAGAAGAGAACTTAAAAGAAAAAAAGCTAAACCTGAGCTGTACTTCATGAAAGAAACCAACTTATACTGTCCTTTCATGGTATGGAGACTGAAAAGTAGACACAGCACAAGCGTTTCAAATCAGAACCATAAGGTTTTAATGACTAAATCATGCAAAAACTGCCAATACATTCTGTAAAGAATATCAACATATATGTAGAAAATGTGTGTCTGTATTTGGTCCATCTTAAAGTCTTGAAAATGAAAAGAAGGAGAGACTTTAGTCTTGTTTTTGCTATTTTTTATATAAAATGATAAAGCGCGATTGTACAGTATAACACTTTTTTGACATCAATAAATCACTCTTTGACACAACAATAGAAGATTCACATTTATACGTCATTCTTCGGTATGGAACCAGGAATAGGTTTTTTTGATTTGTGTATATATTCTGTGTATATATTCTGAGTATCTTTACTGAAATATTTTACATGTACATTAATGCTTTTTGTCTCAGTGATTGCAAAAGGTGAAACCAAAGCAATATATAGAGGGCTTTGGCTATTTCATAGTGCCACATATATTGACCAGCTAGCCTGTTTATAGAGAAGGAAACCATGGCTCTTGTTCCGAAAACTGCAACAGATTCCCACAAAATGCTGTAGGATCAGTCCCCTGAAGGCAAAAGGTTTGATTTAAGCCATTCTTTGACATCCCTACACTGATTTTCAACTCCTTCACATCACTCTGAGAATAACTAGTAAGACACGAGTAAGAATTACGTTATACTAAATGTGCTATGACAGTTACCATTACCATAAAGTTATTGCAATGCATTTTTTTCAGTTAACAAGGATTTTTTTTTTCATAGACTTGTAATCGTAGACTTGTGCTGGACAGCATATCAAGTAAACATATTCGACTAAAAGCCCATCATTGTTAGAAAGTCAAACATATTAAACCAACTTTGAACGATGACAGTTGAAAACGTTACAGTTACAAATTCATTCTGATGAAGGTTTCATTGGCTTTTTCCACACATTTGCATTCAACAACATATAGCATGCTCTGTTTGACATGTCATTACACTTCAAAATCGAACAGCTCCTCGACTCGGTGCTGTCTATGAAACTTATGGCCTTTGTATAACAATAAGCATACACATCACCAACCCAACTTCACAACAGCCTCACAGAAACAGCAGATCTATATAAACACACGCACACGCACAAGGAATGAAATCACTTTTTTGAAGAAATACTTGTTAGTGCATTCAAAATATTTTAGAAGTTGGCAAAACAGCTGTTTATGATGGTCAGAATCTGTGTCTTAAACACTGGCTCAGTTTCAGTTAAAGTTCATGACTGTATTGGGAAGGTAATACAAGACTGGTATCACGCTCTTATCCTTGTAGTACTTATGTGATGTAAATGCTGCAAAATTAGCTAGTTTGTGCCATAATGTTTACAAAAACTGACTTAAAAGAACTGCCAGGCATTTGAACATTTACAGCTCCTTCATTATGTTACATCTCTTTTGATTTACAGACATTCAGGTACTTAAGTATGTTCTGGTAAATTTGTGCTCTCATACTATAAATTCATTCTGAAATAGCACAAAATCAACTTTGTTTCAAGTTACATTCACCATATAAACATTTAACACTTTTCCTTTCCCTTTAAGATTAGGCCCCAAAAAAGTGGACCAGGATATAGTGTACCATCTTTGTTTATGCTGATACACAGTGCTTAATTTAAGGTATTTTATGCTTGTATAATACGTCTAGGTATCCCAATGTTGCCTATTTTATGCAAAGTCAATGAGAACTGCTCTGTAAACCAGAGACTGAACATCCAAGGATGGCAAAAAGCACTAGCTTGTCAACACTCTGCTCTATACAATTCTGGTCTATTAGCAACAACAAACAAAACTGTACTACCTTGAAATAAACTTGAACAAACTAAAGAAACAGACAAGACCAGTGCAAGATCAACTATACAGCAGATTTGAGTTCTATATAGATTTTCTGAGACTTTTAGACTTATACTATGCAACATTTTGTAAGATTTAAAAATATATATTGCTATATTCGTAAACCACACCTCCATTTAAAAATCTAGGTGTTACAGCATTCAAAATATTGGTGTGCATGTCAGAACTGTTATGTATAACACCTGGATTTTGAAAGGTTTGCCTGGAACCTGGCTGCAATATGAATTTTTGTGATTATAGAATACTTTATTACATAATCCCCATCAGTTTATTGTTTTAATATAGTGATTTTGGTTAGTTCGATATCTTAACAAAATGTTAAATAGTACACACATATACATATATATAACAAACCATACATCTTTAACCGAACAATTTCATATACTCTTTGATGCATTCCCTCTTTAAATATTTCAGCTTGATCGTTTCCAACCTATTTTGTTTTCTTTAAGTAGTAAATACATTTTAGATTTGATATTATCATTTCATATATCCATACATATTTTTTCTAACTCTATTTATGCAGTAGCTATTATCCTCCTGTTTAATCTGTTCATTTGTCTGGACAAGCCCCCCTCATAGTTACCTGTGTCTCCCTTCTTCCTGCACACTATATGCAGATACATTTTCAGATTTGTCACCACAGCCACTTAATTCCTTTACTGTTCTGTTCTGTAGTGACCTTCTTCCTTTGTGTAAACCTCCCTTGTGTTTTAAGAGTATCCATCTCCACCATGAGCATAGGCCTGCTCAACTCCCTCCTGGATGTACTCCTCTTTTTTCTCCCATCCTTCTGCCCATCCCCCATTAAGTTGAGTTGTGGCTCCGTATGTTTTTGGGGGCCCCCCAAAGGCTCCCTGGGCCCCTAGTGGAGCATGACTGAGTGTGATGTCACCGGTCTCCTCAGCGAGCTCGTCTTCATCGATGAAGCCGCACTTCTCCTCGCTGGTCTCCTCTGGGTCAGCCCATGGCTGCTTCTCACCTGAGGCGAAAATCCCATAGAACACCACACCACCATAATGCACCAGCGAGGCTATCAGGAACACGTTCTGCCACTCTTCTCGAGTCTGAGGAGTGCGAGGAAAGAGGTGAATTCACAGGTTTGAGGGACATCATCACTGAGGTATATCATATGCTCTATTACAGAAATAGTGAAGGTCGTAGTTTGTCAGTTTTGTAGTGTTGTTCTATTTGTCTATTTTTTGGGGCCCCTGAAAACATACGGACTCTTGGTGCAATAAGCCTTTATTTATGTGTATATATATTTATGTCAGTTCTCAAGAAAGGCTTAACACAATTTCTCTACAATGAATAAATATGCATTTTTGACAAATTGATACAAAGTATGACAGTTTGTATGTTACCTTGTTTTTGGTCATGGCACCCACTATGAGAGGGCAAACCATGCCAGACAGTGTTCCAACACCATTGGAAATGCCCATCAGTATGCTGGCATACCTGGGTGCGATGTCCAGGTGATTCACATTAAAACCTTAAATAGGAAAAAAGCAAAAGTTTACAGCAGTAAATAGAAAGTTTGAAGAAAACAAAAAAGCTGTCACGGTTTGGTAAAGCCACCTGTTTATCACTGTGGTCATGACAAAACCTTAAATCTCCAGGAACAAAAATAACTTTAAAATGTTAAAATAATGAGATCCTGTTCCAAGTAATTTTGCTCCATTTGTATTGGTTCACACACACGCACACACATTATCTAGGCCGCTTATCCTCCTGGGTTGCGGGTGTGCTGGAGCCTATCCCAGCAGTCACTGAGTGGAAGGCAGGAAACACCCTGGACAGGTCGCCAGTCCATCGCAGGGCAGAAATTGTATTGCTTCATTTGTTATAAAATGCTCATGCAACGTAAAGGAAAGCTGAGGCACAATTTCTAAATCATATAAACAAATAAACAATGTAAATACAAGGTTTAGATATCATCACAGGCCTAACAAAACTATGTATCTTCTAACTTTTCAAGAGTGTAACTTGTAAAGTGATGTAAGAAATTTTGGACAATTTCTATTGTAAAGGCAGCTGCTGTGCTCAAACAAATGGAAATACACAGTTTGATGTTTAAATAAGATTGATACCTGATATTGCAAAGCCGCTGAAACCCACTGCCAGCACCAGGAATGAGATGGCTACACCTTTACTGTGGGAGTAACCAACGACGAGTAGCAATGTAGCCTCCATCCCAAATCCTACAGTAGTGTAAACATACAAGTCAAAGGTCAGCTGAGACACCTAGGATCCATAGCAGACATATATTAGTCTGACCACTAATATCTGTCAGTCTTACCTCCACAATTCATGATCTTCCTGACGTTAGTGGTGGACATGATGTTCTTGCTGCGCAGAAAGTCGGCGAGCTGGCCCCCTATGGGCACTATGATGGTCATGACCAGGTGAGGCAGAGCAGATAGAGCACCAACCTGTGTACAAAATAGATCATTATATTTCATTAATAAGACAAATTCACACATTCAGACAATTTAGCCTTTAGTAGATCAAACCTTTGTCAGGGACAACACTTGTGACTTGTGTGATTATAATGGCGATTCCCTGATGAAGTTCTTTTTACTCTTGCAAGTTATGAACATGGCAATAACACATCATTGCTATCCAATAAGAAACATGTCCAACATCTCCAAAACAGTAACTAGATGAGAAGGCAAAAATGTTCTTAACTTTTAATATAAGTTAATGTAAAGGGAACCTGTTGAGTTTGAATGTTTTTTTGTTTTTTTTTCTGAACAGCAATGATACATAATATATTAAAAAAAAATAACATAAATAATATAGCATAATTTATAGTCATGGGCCTTGTTAACAGCAAAGCATGACAGATATCCTAATTCAGACACTGTCTGTGAGACAGTGACCCTCAAAGACACAACAACTCCAGCAGCCTTTGACTCCAATCTGCAGGCTAGGCAATAACTCAGAGCCGGTTATGACCGGCAAAATCAATCCAGTTGTTTCATTATTCCAGTCAGTCAAATCAGATTTACATCACTTGCTCTGCCTGAATGCCAGAAATCAATGGCCATGTCAGATTTTATTTATGCTTGGCACTTTGAGATAATATTTCTAAATGTCTAACATGGGAAATACAATCAAATAATGGCAGCTAAACTTGTTAGTAGTGACAGTGCCAGTAGCTGGCAATAATGAAAGAAGTAGCATGTTGTGTTGTCAAAGATCAGTTCTGAAACTGTCCTCCATAAATAAAATACAGTATGAACTTCACTATATAAACTCATTTCCCACCAACAAGAATGTCTGGAGAGTTAATGACTTAGTTTTTTTCATGATAAATACAGCCACGTATCATCCATCTTCACAGAAAAACACAATATAGAAAAATTAAACACCTGCTCATTCAATGTTTCTTCTGAAATCAAGGCTAATGAGACGTTTGTTCATCCTTTGCTGCAGTAACATCCTCTACTCTTGTCTAAAGGCTTTACACTAGATGTTGAAACACTGCTGTGAGGATGTGATTGCATTCAGCTACGAGAGCTGGATGGAACTCCATCATTCCAATGAACAAAGATCCACCTTAGGCTGTGGAGCTTAATACCTCTCTAGCCGTCACTTGCCACTGAACATCCCATAATCTTTTTCTATGGAGAATATACAAGCTTTGTATCTGCAACTGAACGCCTGAACACCTTTAAAGTAGCCACATTTACTAATTAGAAGGAGTGCCTGAATACCTCTGGACATATTGTGCATACCATTATTATCCTTGCCTTACAAACTCAACTCACTTTACTGATCTCGAAGCCAAACACCTCCTCAAAGTATGCAGGCTGGCTGATGAGCAGGAGGTAGAAGGTCCAGCTCCTGCAGAAGTTGGCCACGATGATTGCATAGACAGGCATGGAGGTGAAGAACTTCCTCCAGGGTGTCTTGAATTTCTGCAAAGCATATAAAATAGCTTTAGCTTTATATCTCTACAGTCCATATAATGTAAATGTTCTACACACTCTTAAAATAAATGTTCCTAAGTGACAAAATATTTCTTCACCCACACTCATCTTATTTACAAAAATGGTTATTCCATTCATTGTAAAAATCTTTAGGGAACTAAAAATGATTCTTATATATTAATGCTCCATGAACCTTTTTGGCATCTTTATTTTTCAAAAGTGTATAGATAACATCACCTGAACAGGGTCTGCTTATCTTAGGCCAGAAGTCTTATTCTGACACATTTGATGATATATGATCTCCTTATGGAGGCACAGCTTTTTTGATCCATGGGGGAATTAGCTACCACAGCATCCATACAGTAAGCAATTTTCAGTCTGTTCGTTGTTGAAATTCTGGCATTGCAAGCTGCTTTACAGGACACAATGGTGATTTCTTAGGGAACAGCAGACCCACCTCAGTTGCTCCAATCAGATTTGCTCCCTCTCCAATGCTCTCCTCTATGTAGAGTCGCTCTTCGTCTGTAATAGTGGGGTGATCTGCTGGACTCTCATAAGACACCAGGATCCAGAACATGTACCAGACAATACCAAAACTTCCTATGGACAGAAAAAGAAACAGAAGTTTTTGGATCAGGCACATTATAGCATGTTTCATCACATTTGTACTACATATAACCTAATTTCATGTCCTGCTTAAATCACAGATCTAATACAGATACATTATTAATAACCTCACCATAAATATAGAAGACAGAGGACCAGCCTGAATACTGCACGAGTATTCCAGCCAAAGGCATGGCCACCACAGCCCCAGCGTAGGAACCTGAGGGGTTGAATTGTAGAGAATTACAGTCTAAGTCTTTTGTGTAAGATGACAGTGACTGAATGTGTAAAGAGTAAGAGTGATTTCACATTTACCACAGAATGAAGTGGTTGCCAAACGACTTCTCTCTAAGGGTGGAGCCCACTTGCTCCAGATACCATGACATGCTGGATAGGTCACTCCCTGAATTTAAATCAAGATATTAAAATCATACTTAAGGATCCATAAGTAGACTGTATTATGTATGTACTTTCCATTCATAAATAAGGATCTCATGATAAAATCACCATCAATCTTGTTAATAATGTATTCTTCTTTATCATATATAATGAAATTTATAGGCTACACTGGCACATTTTGTTCACCACAAACTTCCACATTAAACAATTAAATGTTAAACATTAAACACTGTGACCAAGTGCTGAGGTACACCCCCTGAGTCAGATAAAAAAGCAAGCAGGCAGAGAAACAAATAAAACTCGCAATCACCTTTTAAATAAGGATTAATGAGGCATGGTGGCCAGTGCAAATCCAAGCAGACCACAAAAACAATAATGCTCCCATTAAATCTTCAATAGCTACTAATTTGCGCACAATCAGTCGCTGATGGACACAAATTGCTGGGGCTAGCAGGGGGAGAAGATCTGGTAGGCTAGTGTTTAATTTGCTGTAATCAGTCAATACACACAGAACATGAGCTGCTGTGGTTGCAGTGCAACCGCCAGCAAGCTTTCATTCATTAAACATAGCCACTCAGCCTACTGCTGTCATTCACTCTGAACACCACAAAGGATGCAAAGGTAGATGACCTTCATAAGGTTGGTGAATGACCAACAGCTGTTAGTGCTCTCTCTCTCTCTCTCTCTCTCTCTCTCTCTCTCTCTCTCTCAGTTTCTTTGTTTGGTTTCTCATAAGACCTGTAATTCTGCTCTGTCTGCTGTGGTGCTTCTCTTTGCTCTGGTTTGAGACAGCACATTTAAAAAGGTACACTAGAAGAAAAAAATGTTTGGATGCCAAAAACGAGCTTTAAAGGGGCACACTGGCCAAAATGACAAATGTAACTATTGCTATATCTGTTAAACATGCATACTCGCCTTCTACTGCAGTGCTGCAATAGTCCTATATAGTGAGATTATCCGGTTTAAAGGGAAGGAAAACTCCCTTCAGATGATGTATCTCGAAGGTGTGAAGAAAAAACTGCAGGTGTCTTAGGGCAGATACATGTTTGTTTGCTTTTTTCCCCTGAAAGCTGGCTAATGCACAGGGGAGGTAGATAGCTGATGTTACTGCTAGAAAGCTGAATATCACGTTTGTATTTCTTATTTATAGGCATTTTTTATCTTCATGTGGGAGGAGGTGGTGGGGGGGGGTCCCCAGTGGTTATATGAGGTACTTGCGCAGCGCACGCTGAACGCTGTAGTGAATGAGCACAGCTGGACAAAACCACAAGAGAAAGCAAAATTGTAAATTCTGTCAAAACGAGGGCGCTGAGGGATGCAATGCTGTGCTACAGAATATTACATAAGCTATATAAAACTACATAAACGCCCTTTTCGCCTTTAACAAGTTTACCGTATGTACAGTAGTACACTGTGCGTCATATGGAGTAAAACAGAAAGGAACACATGTTCGTGTAGCCGCGATGAATAAATTATTCTTCTACACCTCGTACCTCTACGAGTCCCTGTAAAATCCTGACGAAGATGACGCAGCCGTAGTGCACGCGCGCAGCTGACGGGATGAACATGTTGAGTGTTGACGTCAGTAGGATGGCGGCACCAAACACCCTGTAAAACCAGAGTAAATAACACGCATGAGGCAAAAGCTCACCAGGCCGCTGAGTTAGAAAACAGCGGTTCTAGCAATGAAACATGAAACCAATGCAGGCTCGTCGAGACTGTCCTCATCAGCAGCCTTTTCACAGAGATTACATTAAAACTCACTCACTGATGAAACAAAATAATCCCGGTTCAGCCTCCAGGACCACAGTGGCTGTGGGTTATTTGCGAAAAACAAACAAACAAACAAACAAAAAAAAACAAAAAACATTTTTGCCAGTTAATTATAACGGGTTAATCAGTATAAACGAACTACCTCAAACTGACTAATATTTAAAACACAGAAGGAGCAAAATGAGGATAAATGTACGATTAAATCAGTCTCTACTCTTTTATTCTTAATCCGGCTCTTACATCATCAATTCATCATCTGTATGAAGCTGCACGTAATCTGTTCAGAATATTCTGACACAAACATAAAACTTTTTTTTTAAAAAAAGATTTTTTCTCAAGTAACAAAACACTCTTTAAAAAGATGGTTCTTCAAGGGTTCTTTAGTAAAGGGAACTGCTCCATTTAGAGCTATGTGTTCTAAATAGAACCATTTCATGCTTAATGGTTCATTGCATGGTGAATATGGTTCTATATAGAACCTTTTTGAAAATGGTTCTATATAGCACCAAAAAGGGTTCTTCTACTGTTACAAGCTTGACATCGTAACAATAGCAGAACCCTTTTTGGTGCTATATAGAACCATTTTCAAAAAGGTTCTATATAGAACCATATACAGCACATTCTCCATCAATCTGAAGAACGATTTCACCATGCAAAGAACCATTTAAGGATGAAAGGTTTTATATAGAACTCATGGTTCTAAACAGCACCATTCCCTTTACTGAAGAACGCTTGAAGAACCATCTTTTTTTAAAAGCGTGCATGTTATTGTTACACGTAATCTGTTCATAAATACGTCTTCTGACACAAACATACAACAGAAGATTTTTTTTCTCTCAAATAGTACACTCTTTAAAAAAATGTAAAGGGAACGGTTCTATTCAGAACCATGAGCATGAGTTCTATATAGAACCATTTCAAAGTGGTTCTTTGCATTGTGAAACGGTTCTTCAGATTAATGGAGAATGTTCTGTATATGGTTCTATATAGAACCTTATCGAAAACGGTTCTACAGCACCAAAAAGGATTCTTCTATTGTTTCAAGCATGGCATCGTGACAATAAGAACCCTTTTGGCGCTATACAGAACCCTGTGCGACACATTCTCCATCAATCTGAAGAACTATTTCACGATGATCCTTTTAAGTATAAATGATTTTATGTAGAACTCATGGTTCTAAATAGAACCATATTGCCTTTACTAAACAACCATCTTTGTTCAGAGTGTTATTGTTGTGTTATTAATCTTCCACGCGGTCCAGTTGCCTGTTTGTATTGTAATTTAGCCTATCTATGTTATTTATTAGGCCGCAGGGATCTCTGTGAGCGTTTCCTCGCGCGGCTGTGTTTGGGCGCCACGTGCCCCGAGCACGCGCCTCCCTAGAGACCTCATTAAAGCGAGGAGGCGGAGCTGGCGTGAGCGCGCGCCTCAGCAGGACTCACTTGCGCCCGCGAGCTCTGCTCGCATCCAGGTTCCTTGATTTAAAACGTTCACGTGCGCGGCAGCTAACAGTGAGGATTAAAAATGCTCCTTAAATACTTAATAAAGAATCTCAGTGACCGCGTTTGACAGCGAACTGGTGAAAGCGCAGCAGCGCCGGCTGCAGCGCTCCGACCTGAGCTGTAACGGTTAGAAGGTGCGGAGTTTACAGTGTTACAGTGAACATTCAGATCAGCGCGCTTCATATACCTCTCTATTCTCACTCACTTGTATTCCGACAAACCCCTGCCTCCCTGCGCTAGGGCTGGTCAGTAGTGGGGGGCGTGGCTTGCCGGAACACAGGTGAGGAAGAAATACTAGCGCCTGCCATGTAATCCGTGTGTGTGTGTGTGTGTGTGTGTGTGTGTGTGGAGCGGAGCGGAGAGTGACCTGTTGGCCGCCAGTCTGGAGGAGATGTATCCTCCCGGGATCTGAGTGACGATGTAACCCCAGAAGAAAGAGCCGTGGATCATCCCCACCGTCTCCGGGTCCCAGTTAAACTTCGCTTTCTGACAGAACACACACATCAAACACAACCATTAATCAAAGCTAATGATTAAATATGGACTGTACATCAGCAAACATGTTGTTTTTCAATAAATGTAATACTACTACTACTACTAATAATAATAATAACATCAACAACAATAGTTATAACAGTTCTATAACAATAATGATAACAGCAGAATCCACAGAGCTGAATTAACCCTTAAATCATTTGGAGTGTTAACACTGTGTTTGGAGGTTGGATATTTATGATTAGCTTCAATTAAAAAAATAAAGTTTGAGTAGAAAATAAAACACAATGAGCTTCAGTGTTAAAATAGATCTTCATTATTGTCAGTATCTCCAGTAATATCCTCTGTTTCATGATGTAACTCGAGCCCTTTTTTAGCTCACCAGTTCTCAACGCTGCCCACACTGTGAAGATATTAATCTATTTAAAATATTTATTTTATGTCTGTGTATAAACTAAATGCTCGGTGATCAGTCAGTAGTGAATCAAAGTCAGCAGTGAATCAAAGCACAGAGCTCAACAGGGAGGGGCATATAAAGGAGGAGGGGTAAACAAAGTAGGAGGAGCAAATACAGGAAGAGGTTCAACTAAAGAAGGGGCAAATAAAAAAAGGGGACAAATAAAAGAGGAGGGGCAAGTGAAGGAGGAGGGGTGGATAAGAGTGAAGGGGCAAATAAAGAAAGCGGGGTAAACAATGTAGGAGGAGCAAACACAGGTAGAGGGGCAACTAAAGAAGGGGCAAGAAAAGGAAGGGGGCCAATAAAGGAGGAGGGGTAAATAAAGGTGAAGGGGCAACTAAAGGAAGAGGGTCAAACAATGTAGGAGGAGCAAACACAGGAAGAGGGGCAACTAAAGAAGGGGCATATAAAGGAGGAGGGGCAAATAGAGTGTGATGAGTAAGTAACTGAGGGCAGAGTACGTAAAGTGGGAGGGGCTAATAAAACGAGGGCGGGGCGAACAGAAGGCTGAGGGGCGCGCGCACCTCTTTGATGATGATCTTCCCGCCCCTGTGGATGGTGCTGTTGTTGACCATGTCCACGATGGCCACTCCCAGGTTACAGCGGATGCCGAAGGAGATGCAGAAGCCCAGGCCGCTCATGATGGCGATGATGTAGCGGCGCGGGAGGCCGAAGCACGTGCAGTCTATGGGCGGCGCGCGCTTCTTCTTCACCACGGCGGGCCGCCCGTCCTCCGTCAGCTCCAGCTCCTCTCCTCCTTTCTGCTTCTTCTCCATCAGCCTGAAGAGAAGAGCAGAGCACTTCACACACATCGAGCTTCACGGTGGGCCTGAGAGACCCTCTGACTGAGATCTCTGAGATCCGGCACAGCGCTGGAATTTAACCCCATCACTTCGTTGAGGGGAATTTTCTCAGAGTAAATCAGCCGTTAAAAGAACAAATAACAATGATAATTAATAAAGTAATAATAGTAGATACAGCATAGCAATAATAGAAACATAGAACATAGAAATAAAACATGGTTTTAAATTCCTCACGTTAAATTTTTTAGGAACATGATTTAAACGGTCGAGCTGAAAAATATTTCTCTGCATTGCAGCATCTCCGATCTTCAGCTTTTCTCCATGGAATTCTCCGATTTTTTGTATTTTTATCATTTAGACTGTAAGGTATTATAATAACGTATAGTTCATAATACAGCATAAATTAAACGAATAAAACTAAATACAATAACTTAAGGATGAAATAAAGAACGAAATATGGACTGTAGGCTGTGAAAATTGTAAATGTATTGAGTGGCACTTTAGAAAGGAGACGACTCGAGTTTATTCAGATGAGAGACACTGATTTCAGTGAATGTTCCTCTATTGAGGAGGAGGAGGAGGAGGAGAAAAAGCTCCACCAGTTTTATGTAATATTTTAACGAATGTCTGCAGCAGGGGGGAGCTTCAGCGTTTGCAGTGGTCGTAAAACAGATATGTAATGGTCAGCTCCTTTGAAAAAAAAAGAACACTTGTAAAGAAATTTTAACGAACGAAGAAGTTGATCACAGTGATGTGCGGATCATTTGAACTGCTCTCCATTTATCTCTGCAAAAATGGAAATGCAGGCTGTATGAAGCGTCGGAATAAAGATGAAATGAAAACGTCTTTGTGTCTCAGTGAGGCTCCTGCACTGTGTGAAAAACGGCGCTTTGTGCTTACAGGGTCTCAACGTGTCAGTCGGTTCCGCGAGTTACATCAACACTGTTCCTGCTGAAGGAAATGAAAGACAGCAGTTGTGTCGGTAGAGCGCGTTTTATTGACACGTTCGAATCCAGATTTTTATTTATTTATTTATTTTGGTGGAGAGCAGGCCAACACCTCTCAGCTGAATACTGATCAGTGAGCGGAAGGTGTTGGACCCACTCTGAGCTGTCACGACTCGCTCGATTTCATTCATTATTTAAGGCACATACAGCCCGAATCCTCGGGGGAAGAAGCCTTTAATCCCACCAGCTAAAGCAGCATTAATGATCTGGACTTGATCTGATCATCATTTCACGATTTAACGACGACGCACTATTTTTTTTTATATGTAAGTATTTCAAAATTTAGAAACGAAAAATGTGGAACGAATTGTGTAAAATGATGAATACGAATGAATTTTGATCCCAGACAACAAAAAAAAAGGAAAAATAGAGAAAAAAAAGAAAAAAGAAAAGAATTTCGATCGATCGTTTACTGATAACCAGTATACACGTTCTGATCACATTCTTTTATTAATCCAAAGTGAATATATATATATATTGATGTGTATCAGCCCGCTGTAGAGGATGATAAGGGTCTGAGGTGTACCTGTGCATGTGGCCCAGGGTTTTACCCGCGAGATTCTTCAGTCCCGCCTTTCCGGGGCCGAGCACTCTCTCTTTCACCGTCTCCATCTCCAGAATCGACGCCCGGCTCGTGTTTTAGGGTCAGATTTCAGCCTCAGTGAGCTGCGGGATTCATATTCCTGGAGTGCAGAAACAGCCCGGATGGTTTCTTCGACCGAGCGGAACCTGTTTTGGTTATTTAATCCCCTCGTGAGTGTGATCCGTACAAACGCCTACACACACACACACTCACTCACTCACTCACACACGGTCTCCTCGTCCTGTGAGTTTCCCCGAGTCTGGAGTTCAGTGAGTCCGCGCTGCTCCATCCTCACTCTGACTCAGAGCTCCACATCACCTGAGCTGTGCGCCCGCTCAGGACGTTCTCGGCTCTCTGTGCTGAACGGAGTCGGTGCTGCGCTCGTGCCGCTTCTCTCGAACTGAACCTGCCGCGCGCATTCAGCATCGCGGACAGCGGGAGCGCGCGCCAGGCATCCGCGCGCACGCGCCGCGCGCTCTCATTTACGCGCCTTTAAAGAAAGACGCGCTGATCTCCATCACAGCCACACAGAGTCCCGCAGTCACCACTTTCCACCATCTGTGGGGACGTGTGTGTGTTTCGATTTCATTATTTTAAAAGTCAGTGTTAAACCTGCAGAGGAGAGGCGGTGCCATGGAAACCAGCTGAGTGAGGGTCTCCAGGGTCCTCTGAGACAAGACAGGAGAAAATATGGCAGCATCACTGTGCCACACTCTCTGTCTTTCCTCAAAATAATCTGCCGTAAATAAACCATAAGAAATTATAAGACAACGCATGCAGAAAGAAAGAAAGAAAGAAAGAAAGAAAGAAAAAAAAATGGCACAAGAGTGAAAGAGAGATAAGATGAAGTCTGGAAAGACAGAAAGCAATAAAGAATTAAAATGCAAAAATGTGAAAGACATAAAGAAAGAAAGAAATGGTGGACAAAGAGAAAAAAACAAGCAAAAATTAAAATAAGAAAGAAAGAAAGAAAAAAAGAAAGAAAGAAATGATGGATGGAAAGAAAGAAACAAGCAAAAATTAAAGAGCATAAGAAAGAAAGAAAGTAAGTAAGTAAGAAAGAAAGAAAGAAAAAAGAAAAGACACAAGAATAAAAGAACAGGGATTAAAACAATGAACGCTCACAATAATGAAAGAAAGACACAAACAGACACACAATCAAACAGAATCCAGGAGGACTGTCTGTGCTGTAAATGGCCACCAGAGCGCGCTGTGGTTCTGGGTAACACAGACTGGGATCAAACTGTCAGTCACTACCGATGCACACTGAGCCTGCTGGGTAGCATGTGAAGGCCCTTTTCTGCCCCTCAGCGGGCAAAGGAGAGAGAATTCTTCAGAGGTGTAGGTGTGACATCACTGTGTGTAGGTGTGACATCACTGTCAGCGTCGTGCTCGAGAGGCACTGAGTGTGATTTTGATTTGAGCTCTTGTCTGACCGGCCGCCTGGCCTCACTCAGGTTCCTCTCCTGCTTCTTCCTCCGTGTTTCAGGCTCCACTCTGTGCCTCTTCCACAGCCGGGTGAGCGCGGCCCTCAGCTCCCTGCGGATGGGCCTCCCCGCGAAGCAGCTGAACAGAGGGTTGGTGCAGGACGTGAGGCTGCACACGCACATCTCCAGAGAAAAGATCAGGTCGGCCACCTCTCTTGCTGACGAATCCTGGGGCGTCAGCGCCGGCACGACGAGAGCTGCGTTCCTGCTCAAGTGGTAGGGTAAGTAGAAGAGACCGAAGAGGACCATGGCTGCACCTAGCTCACAGGCCAGCCCCCTGAGGCGCGGGTCAGCCCGCTTGCGCAGCTGGCACACGCTGCAGATGTAGCAGTAGCTGAGCGCAGTGAAGGGGAAGAAGAACCCTAGAAATGAACAGCATACAGAATAAAACAAGCTCTCTTCAGTGTCACCCATGAAGACGTAGATGATGCACACAGTCCTGTTGTCGTGCTGACAGTGTGCGATGGTAGACAGTTGGGCCACTGGAAGACTCATAACTATGGCCAACAACCAAACACTGATGCACAATACGACTGCACGCCGGTGAGTGAGGAGAACAGGTGAGCGAAGAGGATGGACGATGGCCAGGTAGCGGTCTATGCTCAAGCAGGTCACAAAGAATATACTGAGGTAGAAGTAGTTATGGTAGAGAAGACGGATGGCCTTGCAGAAATCCTGGCCCAGTGACCACTGCATCCCAGCGAGGTGGTACTGGATGAGGAACGGCAGGGCAAGCAACCAGAAGGTGTCAGCCAGAGCAAGGTTGTGGAGGAAGAGGATGCTGCGGTTGCTCTGGCTCAGCCGGCGAGAGAAGACCCAGAGGGAGAAGAGGTTCAGGGGCAGGCCCAAAACCAACACCCCGAGGAAGAAGCCCGGCATCAAGAAGAGCTGGACGATACGCATGACCCCCACACCAGGAGAGGTCATATTGCAGGACACAGTTTCATAATGCAAGGTGTCCTGCACAGAGAGAGGAAAAGATGAAAAAGATGCCAGGAACCCAGAGCTGATTTGCATTACTGTAAGGCTGTTACTAACAATATAAGAGAATGTTATTACATATGAACTGTATTCTTAAAAATAAAGGTTCATAGTTCTTGGCTTAGATATATGACTCTAGGGAAGAAAAAACTTTGATATAGAATCAATATATTATGTGGTGTCTAGCTTCTTTCACAGGAACCATCCATTTAAAGTCCACTTTAAAAGGTTCTGGTTATGAACTAACCCTGTCCTGCAGATTTTAGTGTTTTTCCTGCTTTAACGCAGTTTAACTCTTGTTAATTAGCTAAGGAGTTGAATCAGGAGAGTCAGAGCAGGGAAACACTAAACCAATGGTGCCCCAAGTCCAGTCCTGGAGATGTACCACCCTGGAGAGTTCAGTTCCAACCCCAATCTACCATACCTGATCCAATTAAATAAGGCCTTCAGAGCACCTGAACATTAGCACAGATGAAGGTGGTAGGCTAGTGGTAGGAGAGCTAAGCCAGCAACCAAAAGGTTGTGGGTTCCCATCTCAGAACTAAGTGGGTATTCCTGGTTACCCCTTTGGGCAAAGCACATAACCTACCAGTGTAGCTCTGCTGGGACACAGTGCTGCTCCCAGACTTTACATAGTTAAACAGAAAAAATTACGTTTTCTAAAACATCAACTCTCTATAGAATAATGACTCACCAAGACCACCACTAAACTTATCATGGCAGGGGTACTCCAGGACCAAAGTTGAGAAGCAATGCTTCAGTGAACAGTTGTTCTTCTATGGCATCAAAGACTGCTTTTTGGCAAATTTTATATAATACCACACCCCCCTCCCATATAGCGTATTGTGGCTGTCAAAAAAACAAAATATCTCCTTTTTTGTTTTTCTACATCATTTGATCACAATATATGCCTTTTACACTGTGTGACAATTTCATGATGAATGGACTAATAGAAATAATCCAAAATCATTTAAATAAAACCTATTTAACACTGAAAGTTTAGAACGTTTTTGCCTTCTCCTATAAAGTTACAATTTTTGAGATAATGATTTTCTTTGGACAGCAATGATATGCAAAAAAAGAAAGACCCACTGCAGTTACCTACCAAACTGTGGTTGCTGTCCATCTCTGCATTGATGCTCCACCTGCTGTGTAACACTGTCTCCCTGGATGGAGGGAAGACAAATGGAAGTGTTCCCATCTTTCCTCCCACTCCTACATTATTATTAACAGGTAAACACACAAAGGCAAATATCGGCCCCCTCATGCCATCTGCTACTGATGACGCTACTGTATCAGAAAGTGTGCCATCAGAAATAGACAGCCTATCAGAAACAGGCATCAAGGGAGCAGAGCATCATTTTACTATTTTAATTTTTTGGGGCAAAATGTGTGATAATAATAATAATAATAATAATAACAACAAAACAACAATAATAATAAGGACTATAATAATAATAGTAATAACAGGCATTAAATAATTTAAGCAAATAATTTATTTGCATGACTGGTATACACACAGTACAGAACAGAACAAATTTATGTCAGAAAGTATATAAAATAACTCACAGAAATGGCTTTTTGATTGATTTAAAACTATATTAATTTATGTATCCAGATCCAAGAACCACTTGGTAACTACTTCACTTTAACCAGCATTATAAAATTGATGTATGTGTTCAAAAACAAAGAAAAACAGAGAGATCAGTAACAATATTAAGATGAATTTGGCGTGAAAAGTGTCTATTGTCATTACAGATAAGGTCCAATCTGGACCCACAGTATCCACATCACAGACCAAGACCAGCAGACAGCATGAACATACAGGCAGGATTGTGTAGGAACGAACTAGCGTGTACAGCTTTTCTTGCGTTCTACCTCTTTAGATGCATAGAGAATATGTGTATGGCTTATAGCATTCATGTAGAAACGTGCATAGCAAACAGCTAAATTTCAGAAACGAAATTTCTTAAAATTATTTAACAGTCGCAATTCCTTAACAATCAAAGGCAAACTGAAAAATCCAAAAAAAAATTAAACAAACCGGCACATGAAAACATTTAGAATTCAAGTCACAAATATCAGCACAACCAGAGTGACATTTACTTAAACCTTTATCTAATGAGAACCAATTATTTGTCTACTTATTTTTGCAAAAGCAAATTAGAATTTGCCACTACAGTAAATCTGGGCTTCATCTTTGTTCAATAGCAGAGCTACGCACAAACTTTCGGCAGGGCATATAGGGGCACATGTTTCAAAAGAAAAAAATTGAAACACTAGCTAAAAGGGCACTTTGGCTGATTCAGGGCAAAGAGCATATGCCTCAGCATAGGCTGGTGTCTGCGCATATGCCTGAATGATACCCATTGTACCATTTTTCATAATGCTTAAAAGAGACCAGAACATTAAAGACAGATTTGGCAAAGCATTTACAGTAATTCACATCCACGCAGCCACTAATCTCTTCCACACATGGTAGACCTGGACGATGTGTCCCGTCACCTTGATTTCAGACATTTTATTACAGCAACACTGATACTGTAGTGTAAATACATTAATCACACGGACAAACCTTCTTCATTAAGTGCTTTGTGCAAGACAAAAACATTATAAAATTTCTTTTATGTCCCCTGACCCGTAAAATGAACAGAAAACGAAAAGAAAAAACAAAGGAACAAAGAGACACTCACAGAGTTGCCTTGACTACAGCTGGACTTTCCTCCACTGTAATACGCATGTAGATAAACAAAGGCACGTTAAAAGCCATTAGCGTGGCTAGTCTGCTCTTTCGGTCATGCATTAAACTCTGATTACTCTTCACTGTACTAACACTTGGGCTTTGCAAAGTAAGATTTGGCTGTATTTGGTTCACAGGGTTTGAGGTGCTGATTGCTTTCACCCATCATCAGCAAAACTGTCTGTCCTGTAAATAGATAGCGTGAATACACTAGTGACATCAGCTGGCAGAAGACACACTGCACTTAAGGAGTGCAGTGCACTCACTCATATTTGGCATAAATGTACTGGAAGTTTTAAAGAAAAGGAAAACCTTCTTGCAACTGCCTTGTGAAGTTGCATGCTAAGAAAAGGACACTTTGTAGTGATGTGACAACTGCGCAGAGTAATGATTGTGAAAATACTGTTTTACATTTTAGTGCTAGTTATTTGAGAGCTTATTAAGGTCCTTTTTTTAAATTGTCTGCAAAGTCAAATGCAAAAAATATGTAAAATGTTCTTACAGAGGACTACACAGGATGAAACGAAATAATTACAACCTGAAATTTCTCCTGAAACTCTGCTTATCTGAAAGCTTACTCTTATAGGCATCAGTATTGATATCATATTCAGTTTTTGCCTTGCAGAGAGAAATACAAGCTATAGATGTAAATAAGGCATCTTATCTTTGGTTACATAATGGGTTCAAGGAACTCACTATCTGAATGATTATGAAAAAAAAGTCTGAAAACAAAAATAAAACTTAAATAAAAAGGACGGTTTGTAAACTGAAAAACTGAAATTTAGACAGAGCGTGGAGAGAACAACAGAATCCAATATCTGAAATGCATGACCGAGTCCAGAGGTCAAGAATAAAAATATACCACATTGGGCTTTACGTATCTGACTTCTCAAAGTAAGAGTGCTGATGTAGGATCTTTACCTCTCTAGTCCAAATGAGTACATTTGTATAAGCAGAAAGGAGCTGTGTATGACTGATTATAGAGATATCATGGCAAGAACAGTCTGGGTCTAAGTTTGAGGTAAGTGCCTGATAGAAAACCTCTTTCATTTTTACACAAGTGAAATGAGGCTTGGACTAGGTCAGGCATTCAGACAGCACCTCATGTTTCACAGTGGCAGCTATTTCTGGACAGATGCACTGGTCTCCCCCTCCCCTCTGATTCAGCTGTTTTTTCAGCTTTTCCACCTCATAGTTGTGCAGGTACTCCTGGACCAGGTAGCGCTCACGCTTTACACGAGCCTGTACATCAGATGGCACATCCGGAATCAGCCACGCCACAAAGAATTTCACCAAAAACACCACGTGCTATGAAAGACAGACAGTTAAAGATCAGTAATGGGGTAAAGATAAGAGAAAGGCTGTTTAACTCTTTAATGGCAAAGCAAAAAAAGTTTATCTGCCAATGACAATGCTACTGTCTCACTTTTTTGGTATGTAAAGAACATAATCTAAGCTGAAAATTTGTACAGCTTGTTTTATTTTTGTGTCAAAAACTACCATTTTAAAAGAGCAAATATAACAATATCCTTAACAAATCAGTCATCTTTTATTGTTAAAATACATTAAAAAGTTCTTAGTAGGAAGAGTCAAAATTTTCAAACATTTAAATAGATTAAAAAGTTTAAAAACGATTAAAAAAGATTAGATTAAAAAAAGAAAGATAAAAAACAAATAATACATTAGCTTCTCTCTAACGTTATACACATTGAAGAACCATGCGATGTCTGAATGCTATAGTTTTAGCAGACTGCAGTGAAGAGCCTGTGTCTTACATTTCACTTTTAATAATATGTGTTTTTTGTGATGGATGGAGGTATTATTGGAATATAATTAAAAAGATTATAATTAATAGTATTTGATATTAAATATTATATCAAGCTCCAATTCCACATGCTGCTACATTTTACTATGCCTAATGTGTACATGCATGTTTAAACAACTCTGGTGGCAGATTATAAAGAGTTATAGGGCGTGTTACCAAAGTCTCTAAATGTATCCTTGGCAACATGTGAGATAAGAGAGGGTTAAAAACCACAGTGCTAGAGCAATGTACACAATGAAATGTTCTTACCTCCATAATGATAATAAAAGCCATTTTGGCTGCTAGGATGTGCCAGAACTGCATGGTGTGGGAGTACTCATGCTCATGGCCTGGAGGATAGCGGTAATCACGGTACCTACACACAACACATAACATGCGTAAATTATAACAATGAAAAAAAAAGATGTACCGTTACATATACATGCATGTAAACACACACAAAGATAAACAAACCTGCAGGTGGTAATCATAGAGCTGTTGTACCAAGCAGGATTCTCATCAGAATCAGGTGTATTAGCCAAATGAATTTGCGAGATGTTGAAGACAGACAGGCTGTTGTTGACATAGCCCCGCATGGAGGGCTCAATGCCTGGGTGATAAGCGTAGAAATATACCAGCCGAGGAATCATATCGGAGGTAAATGCCACAATGAATGCCTGATCAAGAGAAACACAGGAGACTGAGAACAAGAAGTGAAAATGAGAGATACCAACAGCCTTCTATTACCCTGTATCCTACAAACTGTGTGACAAGTGAGTAATTTAGGACTGTAATCTGTGGCCTTGATTTCAACATGCTAGAAATCAAACCAGAACAAAAACATGAGAGGTGAACCGAGGCGAGTTAACTCACGTTGGTGACCACGGAGAAGACAGCAATCATATTAAGAATTTCATCCCAGGCTCCAATGCTGTGGGCTTTAGCCGCTACAGGTCTACGAAACTGTGTAGTCAACTTCCATGCGTCCACACGCACCTCCAAAATATTATTCATCAGAGCCAAGAGAGGAGCCAGTGGAAAGGAGGCCACAAAGAGTGTGATAAAACCAAACTGGATTACTGGAGAAGAAAGGGAGCAAGCGAGAGACAATTAGAAAGTTGTATAGATACTGTCTCGCAAGCCAGACTTTCTGACCTCTGTCAGAGTCTGGTGCATTTTTCCTTAAAATAGGCCAAAAACGACCTACTATGACAGGAAAAACGTCATTACGCTGACTTGCAAAATAACCAAACACAGCCTGCTTTTTTAGAATCATGTGGAGGAACAGGCAAATTTTAAAACAAACCAGTTCTCAACAATGCAACGGCAAACAAGCAAGGACATCTTGCTTAAAACCTACAAAATTCTTCAATGAATAACTTTTAAAGATGAAACGCTGTTATTATATCTGACCATGTCTTGCTCTGAAAGGCACAGTCATGGTGCACAGAATTTGTTTCCTGTCAGACAGATAAAACCCCTTGTAACCCCACATAAGTGCATATACGCAGATGTGTGGAAAGCCATTCAGAATGAAACTGACAAAATCAGATTAAAAAACAGTTCTGCCAGCTTAACCTACCATAGATATCAGACGCTCTGTGTATGTGTGGGCAGAGCATCGAAGGCTAAGACCAGTATAGATATAACAATGTACAGAAACACAACAGCATCCTCTATCTGTGAAATGTGGTAGTGTAAGAGGGAGTTTGAAAAAGCTCACATATCATCACTTTATAACAAATCCTCGCATTTCTGAAATGGTAACTCTATTTAAGAAGGAAAACTTTACCTTCAATGTGAGTTAATGTAATGAGATTTTATTCCAACTAATTGTAGACCATTTCTATCGGCCCATCAGGAAATGTGTACACAACATAAATGGCAATTGGTGTAAAGCAAAAACAAAATAAATCAAGGTTTTGATAAGTACATGTGTGTGTACACAAGTGCTTAGATAAAACTCACCCATTTCCAGGTACTCATAGAAAAGGCCAAACTGGCTGAAGTTCTGGAGGTCATAGTCCTGCTCCCAACGGCTGTAAAGACTCTCAGGGTGACTGCGAGCATTACGGCTGCTCCACCAGTTCTTGAGCCAGCTGCAAACAAACAAACAAACACATTTACCTTTACTGTGCTCCATTTGCTGAAGATGCAGCACAGTGGGCACAGCTAGTCCCCTCAAACTGCCTTATCAAACTGTCATCTTTTCAAATAGATTAGGAAACACTTACGGAAGCAGAGCCTCTTGGATGTTCCCCCACACTTGTTTACCAGTCATCACTATGACCAGCTGAGTGGTCAGCTCAATCAGACAACCACCAGGGTCACACTACAGAATTCACCATATAAGAGAGAGGCTAATCAACATTACTGCTGCTTATTCAGTAAAACACTCTTTAGACAAGGCAGAATTGGCTGTCAAGCAATTTTTATAAAAGATATACCTCTTCATTCCTCAGGCTGCTGATATGAAACATGTATGTATATTTTCCCGGGTAGCCCACAAACTTTCCCTTAAAGAAGGCCACGTAGAAGCAGGAAGAATAGTAGTTAACAAACTGGAAGAGGAACATCTTGACAGTCAGCTTGTTCTCATACTGCAGATGTGTTTTAGGGACCTCTGCAGGCAGAAAGCACAAGAAAGCACACTGGCTTAGTTAGTTCCACAGTCAGTTTTGTCAATGGATGAATGTAATATAGAAAGAAAGTCTACAATTGTAGCTATCAGAAAACACTTTGAAGGCTGGAATACCATAACTACTAGAATGGGGGTCAGAAGAGGTCATTTGAACAATTTGAATTTTTTAAAGCCACAACAGGGAATTAAACAAATATTTAAAAAATAACTTTATGCTGGTATATGTTATAAGAAATGTCAGAATTATGAATCTAAATTTGATCTAAGTTTGATTGACATTTATTATTTAATCTATATGTGTAACGTACTACTAGACAACAAGGGGAATTTCACTTATTTTTCTACATTTTCAGTCATTCAGAGTGGTTTGATGTAAAATGGTCCGTTACAGAGAAACTTACCAACTCTGATTTCTTTACAGTGGTGGTGATAGGAACCAGGGGTCGCAATGGTTACAGCACAAATATAGCCATTTTATTTATTAGACAAAAACACCAGGAAACACCAGGAAAGTTTTCTTCTGAAACTATTTTGCCTCACAACACCCTGCATGTACCTCTCCATCATGAATCGATTAAAATTAATGGATCACTGAATAATGAGCTGGTCTAACTCACCCATATCTGTGATCCAGATGGCCACTCGCTCATACAGGAAGTTAAGCACCATGATGATGACAAAGTTGATGCAGGAAGCAGTGACTGAGGTGGCCAGCTGTGGGGTGATGAGTGAGCCAACCACCTCCAGCTTATTGGTAGGGCTGTCCTTCATGACGCTGGCCAATGCAGCAAACACAGCTAGCCGATATGCTATCACTCCAATTATACTCGCTATAATTAGGGAGATCTTGATACGGAAAGAAACAGCAGACACCAGAGAAGAGACATGTCAGGGTCGAAGGCATGAAGTAAACAATTTAAACAGTTAAGGAAAATGCCATGTTAGTCAAGTATTTAAAATATGTTGTCACACAGCTGCTTCTTTGAAATGCTTATTATACTGGAGGCATTTGTCTAAAAATTATAGTATATTGTAGTAGGCAACAAACAGGCCATTTATAAATTGAGTCATGGTACTATGAAAACATTCAAGACATCCTGAACTTTAATTATAACATGCTGCTCAAACCATGCATCCACAGGCATAAAACATTTTCTTATCAAACTTTACATTTCCATTCCTTTACCTTTTTACCTTTGCTGCAGGCAACATGCTACAGTACTTCTACTGTATAATAAAGGACCTACTTTATCTTGACACAGATTGCCTGTGAGTGTTTAAATACATGAATGTATGAATGATGACAGTAAAAATGCCTGTTGAATGTTACTGATTAAGTTACTGATGCAGACTGAGATAAAATGATTCTTAGTACTTAAGTGTGATGAAAGGTGCCACTCTACTACATGTAGCAGTGGCACTGATGCTCACCCAGAACAAGACAGTAGCCCCGGACAGGCATAAGCGAGCACACTTGCTTGTTACAGGGAAGTAGGGCTCCATCTCCTACACAGCAAGCAAGCAAACCAAGGAACAAGGCAGTTAGCAACTAGTACGACTACCAGTGGCACACGCCTAGAACCAAGCCTGTGTTAGCTCTGTACCTCTGAAAAAAAGCTGCCAAAAAGAGCTCTCGTGAGGTTCTGGATTATGGCCTGCATATATCATCTACTGTACTCACAATAGAAAGTTAGGCATTTTGAGATTTTTAGCTTTTTTAAGTGACAGGGAATCACACAGAGCACTTGCAGGGAAACTGGACCAAACAATTATGGTAAACTTGCAAAACTGTGGGGGAAAAACTCAAATGCACACACCAAAAAAGCAAACACAAAAACCTAAGGTCTGTGCTCATCCTGTTCAAGTCTTACCCACAGGACCACAGCAGACCAGCACAGGCAGAGTTTGCCTATTAAATCAGCAACTGGCTGGTATAGAACCCACTCCATCTCCTACACGGAACAGGAGTACAGCCACTTTACTTCATTCAAATGGACAAATAATTTCCAAATTAATAAAATATATTACATCAGCATAATTTTATATTTCAGTTTATTTACCTTTCGCATTAATTGTCCTGATGATGTAATATGTTTTATTCGTGAGGATATGAAAGGTACCCATTTGAGTTAAGTAAATTTAATGCATCATTGGAAAACACTGCTGTAACTCATTTGAATCGCTTCATTTTAAAGTTTCCTGCAATATGAGCTTTTGTGTGATAAACAATTCTCATCCTTTTGTGTGTGTCAAACTAAAAATTATTCACTGAAAATAATACACTGTAATTATTTATTTATAGTCATTTCTTGATAAGTCATCTACCTGATATTTGATCACCATTTTTTTTTAAATATGAGCTATTCTGTTACTTTTATTCTTTCTTTTATTCTTTTCTGTTTATTTTAATTTTACTGAGAACTTCATTCTCAATGTTATACTGCGTTCTCTGTCTCTGTTCAGCATCCTGGACAAATTCCTACACAAAAAATACTAGATACTAGAACATCCTACCATCAACCAATATTTTAATATTTTGCTGATTGGGAACCACTGATTTAACTCATCTGAATCTCTCTCATTTATACCCTTCTGCAGTTTCTTTGTGAGAGAAACCACTTGTCATTATTTTTGTCCATATTCTCCAATTCCAACAGCCCAAAAGATGAAACAATGAACCACCAGGGGGCATACTGTGCATAAAAGAATCAATGCTCTGAATAGAATCACATGAAAACATTAATACAACTATTACTAAATATCATATGAAAACACTGCTACTACTACTACTACAACTAAGAAGAAGAATAATAATAGTAATAATAATAGTAATAATAATTTATATCAGGATTAATGTCATTAAGCGTTCTTGTGGGAATGATGCCTGGTTACCTGTGTGACGCGGTTGAGGCGTCGGCTGGTGCACTTGGTCTCGTACTCAGGCCTAAGCTGCAGCCGTTGCTGCTCCTCCTCAAAGTCCACCAGATCCCACTCATACCCCAGCCTGGCCTGCCGCCGCTTCCAGAACTCCAGAAACAGGGTCACTGAACAAAACAGTTTTCACTCATTAGCCTCCATTTGCAGCTGACTGCTCATACACGGATTAAGACTTTGCAATAATCATTCAGCAAAAAGCTAATTAAACCTGTGACTGCCTTTGGCTTTATAAAGTACAAGGTTTCTCTCAACCAAACAATTTGCCGTTCTGTCACCAGGGGGTGACAACACACAAATTCACAATGCCGGGTGAAAAAAATATATCCATAACTTACCCCATATACCCATAAATATAGCAAAAAATACAGTTGCTGTGTTGTCGAAGAGATGTGATTGCTGTTAGAAAAAAAAGGAAGTAAAGATATGATTAATGTCGGGAATACTTTAGAGGATATTTGGAGAAACAGCAAAAAAAACATATTAAACTCACCCAGGTGGAGTTGCAGGTGCTATTGAGTTTCCAAAAGCCACATGTCTTATCACAGAGGGGACACATAACAATCTCGCCACCAATCTTTCCATCACAGATCTCTTTCCTGCAGAAGAGATGACATATATTAGTACATTAACTGTTATTGCCTAATAAGGACTAATTACGGTATCACTCTGAATTATGCAGACAAAAATTTTCTGCAAAATTCAGTTGCTGAAATATACAAAAAGTCATTCAGAGTGGTTTGATGTCATTGTAGAGGAATGTACCGACTATTTACGGAATTTATCTTTAACAATGTGGCAATTCTTTTTCCTTTCTCTCTCTCTCTTTCTCTGTCTGTCACTCACGTCCAGACTGTGTTGTCATAAGTTGCCACTCCATAGATGAAGCAGATGAGTCCAACCACAGCAGCATAAAACAGCATCTCAGTGTAGAAGCCCAGCCAGGCAAAATAGATTCCAATCTTCTCTCCATAGTATTTCCTATAGGATAGAGAAAACATTGTTCAAAAAGGGCTGGACAGCGGGTAAATGCATCAGTGCTCTTGTTTTTCTTACGATCTCTCTCACCGGATGAGATTGAGTGGCTGCTCCTTGTAGAAGCGGAAAAACCGAGCCCAGTATCTGTACAGGTTATACCGCTCACTCTCACAGCTAGAGTCCCGAGACTTTATCCAGTACCTGCACTAAACATACATATATACGCACATTGTTCTTTTGCAAGTAAAATATGGTACTGACTGCTTTAGATGTTGATTGGCCTTTTCATGCTCCACACAAACATGCACTCTTTTGTAGCAATTGTCCATGCTACACCCATAAAATGCACTTTTTTGTAATAAGTGCCATACAATCAAGCCAATGTTAGCATGATGGCAAATCTGTTATTTCTAATCTGTCTAGTTTTTATTTTGCTACAACAACACAGTCCAGCTTAATAGCATAGCATTTCAAACTGGAAACTGGAGTGACTCTAAACATACCACCTACAATTACTCATTAAGTTGAATGGGATTTTTGCTAGCATTCTGTAGAGCTTGCCCAACCTCGCAACAATTGCTATGAAATAATGTATTTGTGGGCAAAGCATGGATAAATTCATTTAAGTGGAATATGTAAAACATATGAAAAACAGTGTATCGTAGTGCAGTGTACCATATATAAGTACAATAAATTCTTACATCATGCAGTGGGAAGGCTGAGGTGTAGGTCCCGTTGTTCAGCAGCCGCTTAATGCCTCTCTTGTCCTTGCTGAGGTTGTCGTCTTTATTGTAGGGGCAGCGAGACAGGATATAGTAGACCTGCACAGACACAGTGCTGTCAGCTAAAAGATATCCAACATTCAGGTTCCTTTCAGGATGCAAACCTGACTATCTACACAACAGTGATTAGAGAAAGTATATGTGTCTAAAATGGTACAAATGATTAAGCACATAGTGTACAAGCTATACAAATAGTGTTCTTTTTTTAGCAGTGTTGTAACTGTTAAGTACCTTAAGTACCAACACAATTATTTTCTTTGAGTTTCCTAGCTTAGAAAGCTGGGGTCAGAACACAGGGTCAGCCATGATATGGCACCCCTGGAGCAGAAAGGGTTATGTGCTTGGCTCAAGGGCTCAACAGTGGCAACCTAGCAGACCTGGGTACTGATACAAGTTCATGACTCAATAAATTCCTGATAGTAGGCTAATGATTTGCCTTTTTTTAAGATTTTCTGAGAAAATGTGAATCAATAAAAGTGATAACTGTATTCAAGTTATCGCACAACCTATTAATGCATCTTTAACTAGGAGGCAGGATGCCTGGAATGGGGAGTGTGATGTATGTGAAGTTGAACGCGTTGATGTGGGTTAATTTCATTAAGACCTTTAGTGCTCAAACAACGCAACTGCATTAACCCCTTAAAATCTCAGGCTTATTACAAACTAAGGCATATTATTTAGTAACTACTCGGGACTACAATGCAAATTGGTTGAGCTATTCTTAAGTTATGGAAATGTGTATTGGCCCAGCGGCCTCTGGTCTGTTATGGGGTTAAATGAAACATTTCCACAAAGCACATTATCAAATTTTTTGCATTGTGATGTACTGTCAGAATGTGCTGTTACACAGCTATTGGAGAATGAAATGCTGTCCTTACTATCCTGTTGCATGTGGAGTTGGGGAAGAAGGTCTCCTTGTCTTCAATAAGGAAGAAGTCCTGCTTGTTATTGTCAAAAGGTGACGTGAAGTAGTCCGGGTCAGGATGCATCACATGATCAGGCAGACGTAAAGGTGTGAAGAGCCAGCCAACAGGAATCTCTCTATTCTCTGGGATATCATTGACTTTGAAAGGCACTTTGATTTTCAGCACATCAGCGTAGGTGGCCAGCACCTCCCATGGAGCATGGATCTTTAGAAAAAATGTCTTTCCATCTTCAGACTCCTGAAAACGTACACATATTTGAGAGATTCAGGGAGAGCACGAATGCAGGCCTAGTGATAGTATTTTGTTTTAGCTCCAAAGACCTCTTAAGTCATGCATCATTATGTAGCCTTCTTGACCACATTAGGAACTCTAAGCTGTTTTTCTTGATTACAAAACGAATGCCATTTTCAAAAATTTGTCTTGCCTCTTCTGACAAAAATGTTTTATTGATGTTGCATTAAAGTATATCTACTATTAAACTTCAACATGGTTATACATGAACACCCACTACTCAAACTGTAGCCTAAAACTGCCAAAGCAAATTAACTGCCACACTTGACCAATCTAAGTGGTCTGTGTGGGGTATTTTGGTGAAGTCAGTCTAATGATGTCAAGTCAGTGCACAGCAGCTTGCATGTAGCAATAGTCGTATTTCGGCTCCTTAACACCTCGTAATTCAGAGGATCTGCTCATGTTGAGAGGAAAAACACATGAACGGCAAACAGAACTGCAGTGGAACATTTCTTGTCACAGTGCATGATTGAGTCCATTTTAAAAAACACTATTCTTTTTTTTTATACAGAAATCAAGTGAGACGCAGAGCTCCGAATATGAACATACAACAACTACAGAATGATGACATGAATTTAGGGCTCCACTTATAAAACACCGCACAAAGCCAAACAAACATTGATCATTCAGATTCAATTCCATTATGATACTTTTTCCACTAATTTTTACATCTTCTATTTTGATACATAACATAAATCTAAAATGCATGTTGATGTTGTTAGTTAAATAAGACAAACCAGGGCTGAAACCTGTCTGTTTAATGTCATGTATGTATTTTATGTGAAGACTAGTGTAAATTGTGCCAGGTTTTTCTAACTTACCGATTTGTCCTCAAGCTCCAGTTCCAGTCCTGCTTTCTGCATGTTGGCTTCGTACAGTTTCCTTCTCTCCTGCATAATGACATAATGTGATCGTATAAGTGTGCTGCACTGAAACATCACTGGGTAGCTGCTTCCATCAGTAATCTCATGTACTGTGCAACCATCATCTGAAGCAAAACACTGCTTTGTGTTCCTGTCACGCAAAGGTTTTGTAAACACCGTAGCTTTTTTTCCCACTGGGACTCAGTGAGTCAGAGTCCGTAAGAAGTCTCGCACATTCATTCAAATCACATACACATTACATATTTTAAAACATGGAATTATATGTCATATTAATAATTTATTTTTTATTCAATACTAGCATAAAATATAGATTAAAATATAAACCAGAAACTAAGAGGTATTTTTTAGATTTTAAGTTTTTTGGGGAACAACAAGAAGTTGTAAAATCACGGTATCAGGATCACACATATATATAGAATCAGGATCACACATATATATAGAATCAGAATCGTTGTGTATATATATATATATATATATATATATATATATATATATATATATATATATACGTTTTTGCTATGGAATCTGTTTTACATGATTCAAAACAGTAATCCCAAACTTTTAAATGTTATTGTATTCTCCTGGATTACTATCTTTATCTGGGTTTCCATTTATCCATGTATTTCTGCCTTTTATTAGGTTTTACAATAAAAAGAAAATAATTTGAGATGTCACATATCACAGTGGGGATATTTGGACCACCATAAAGACAAAAATAAAAGATTGTGTATACACGCACTAGTTCTCCTTGTCTTTCCATGTGTCACAGAGCTATGTGAGTACACACAGGCCTCTCACCTCTGACATAATTACACTCTGGTGCGACTGTTAACAGAGAAGTCACAACAACAAATGCGTCACCAGAGGAAGTGAAAGAAAGACTGGCCAAGTCTGAGATTCAAAAAGTTCCAATGTATTTACTAGGGCTCACCTGACTTGACAACTATGCAGCTAATTCAGACACTGATTTAAAGGGGATAAAAATTCAGTAAATTGATAACAGCAACCGTAATAAGGCTACATTTATACTTTTTTTAATATTATTTTTATGTTCTTTTTTTTTGTAAAACAGTGCTTTACTGTGATTGTCAGTTCACAATTATCACACTTAATACTCAAACATACTTTTTCATACAATTTTCATACTTAAACTCAAACAAACAACAGAAACATGCTGTCTTAAATGATATAAATATTGTTACACAGGATTTTTTGTGGTTTTGGTTTCTGTTAATTATCTCTTATTTTTATAAGTTCTCTTCAAAGAAAAAAATATAAGTAGTATTATTCTCATGTTTTGGTTACTGAAACCATTTGTTTTGTGTTCAAATTTACCAGGTCAGTCTGTGTTGCTGTTATAAAGTTAAGCAACCTGCGCCTGCCACAGTGGCACAGCCATTTAAATGCTTCCCTCTATCACTAGTGGGTCGCAAGTTCAAATACCAGAGATTCCATGACCAAAATATTTTTATTATTGGCAAAATGATATATTGATTAGGCTCTAGTATTTACACTTGATCTGAAATATATAATGATCACTCAAATATGTTTTTAAACTATTCATTCTGTTCATAACAGACAAGTTATTTGTCTTCCCTTTACATTCTAGTAATTCTAGTCATTCTAATTTTCAAGGTTTGTAAATTGTTTCAACTTAACACATCTACTATTCATATTATGACTAATGTCAATGACAGGCTGTTGGGTAAAGGTACACATGTGTTTGATACAGTGGACACTGAGGTATATGGCTCACCTGTTTTTTTTTGTCTTCTTTATCTTCAACATATGACAGAACAAAATCTATCCGTCGTTTGCCATCTCTGAAGTACACAGAGTCCTTACTCTGTTGCTGTTTATCCACCTACACATACAAACACACAGACACACACGTTGTGAGCCACAAATCATCACATTTAAATTAATTTACAAGCAAATTTGTCAATAAATTCCAAGTCACCTGCAAGCTGTAACTTGTTGATCTTTTTGAGAACCATACTTTTGCCAATCCAACACAACACCCAATGAACTAGCAATCAAGACACTGATTCCAGAGCTTCTATGGCTAAATCCACAAAAGCCACACAAAGTGGTAACACCATTCAGAGGCAAGCATATATGCTGTATACACAGGCAAATCACAGGGATGTTCTGCCCTTAGTCCTTCAGCAGATTCGAGTAAACTTTCAGAACTACTTTAACAATACAAGAGGTGATAACATCATTCCTGATAATTTCTCACTGCTGAAAAACCAGATGGGCCTCGTTTCTTAATGGAGAAGCAGAAGTGGCACTTCAACCGACAACACTCATGGCGTGAAAGAATGTACTGCCTTTGCTGCAAAGCAAATGAACCAGCACGTGGAATTGGACCTTTTTTGTGCACTACTGTGTTTTCACTACATGAATGAACCACGATGTTGCCTTTATACTTTGATACTTTCTGAGCGAGCGTACACACGTTGAGAACAGAATTCAAATCAGTAAGGGCTTATTATTGCGCAAAATGAGAAAACAAAACAAGAGCGTAAAGTATATTCCTATTTATATGTGCCTTGTCCAAATGGTACTTTGAGAAACAAACAAAGAATAGGCTGGCTTTGTTAGATTATACTTTACATATCAGTAAATGCAACAGCACTGAAATCACAATATGGAACTGTAGTTTACAACAGAATTTACTGAACATTTTTGTATCAAGATTAAAGGGGTTAAAAAGACTACATGCTGCAATTTCAAGTTATGAAGTAGACACAAACCAAAACAAGGTACAAGAGTAAAGAGTAACAGAGTTAGGCCTCTTTACGGTTAAGACTTCCTAAGCTTTTTACTGCCACTCATAAATCAGATCTCTGAACCTAGTGTAGGACTTTGGTTTAAATGACATGCGATCAAGGGCTTTAGGGCATATGTATTCCTCTAAACCATGGCTACACAAGGGCAGGATCATAAGGATGGTTCTACAGCTGTTTCTCAAGGGCTATAAATAGCAAATAATCGTAGCACAATAACAGTGAGACAGCCAACAAGCCAGCTAGCCCAATTCTAAAAATGCACAAAGCTAGCTATCCTTTCTCTTGCTCTTGCTGTTTGGGTTGTAAACAAACCTAGCTGCCAAGACCACAGTCTGTTAATGCTGTTAACTGGACTTCTCTGTCAAAAGAACCCATTTTCTTTCAGCCTAAACACAATGAAAGGGAAGAGACTTCCCCACATTGCTGGAAATATTTGGCAGCAACTCCCACATTCTTTACTAGGTTATACCCGCACAGTCTCTTGCCTGAGTAATGCATGCGCTGTTAGCCATACTGATTCATAACCTCTTAGCAAATCCGCGGCCAGCTCAATCTCTGTAATGACCTTTTTCCCTGGAGGCACACAATACCCATCCTGAACTAGCCAAGCTGTGAGCAGAGGGAAGAAGGGAGAGAAAGAGAGTGAAGAGCCCTTTACCTCCTCCATGTTGTTCTCCTCCATCAGGCGATGCATTACCTTAGAACAGTCTGTTTTAAATGAGTCTAGATCCTTGTCTCTTGTGCTAGCTATGACCGAGGATCACCCTAGACACCCCTGCAATCCAGACTCCCTCACATGTATGCTGCATTCCAGTCTACTCATCCAGCTTATGATGGTAGATCAAGCCTGTGCTTGCTTGCTCAGTCATTCACAGGACAGCCAGAGAGGGGGCTGGTAGTGATGACATCAGCATGCCGGCAGGGCAGCCACAGCCCTGCTGATCTGATTTCAGAAAAAAAAAAGTAGAGAGGGACGAGAGGAGAGCGATGCAGGCTGCCCAGCTGCCTATAAAACTCGCCAACCATATGAGTGGTCAATTTAACCCCTTAATATTTACAATCCTTCTGACCCAGATTTCCATTTGTCTCTCTCATTACTTAAAAACAAATCAGCCCTGTTTCCCATGTCATTGACTGAATATTAATTCTGAACTATAAAAGCCAGAGCACACTGACGTAACAAACACCAGCAAACAAAACTCAGAACGCCACAAACACGGCACTTTGACCCCCAAAGCAAAAAGATTGGGCACCCCTGCTCTAGAATGTTTCCACTGTTCTAGAGTATTCTGTCCAATTCACTCTGGTTCATTTGACCTGTCACTTCTTTTCCTGGACGTTCTAAAGATATTAATATTATAAGATGATCTCGTAGTGTGAGAGGGGACCTGAATCAATCATCAGCCTTCTGTTCTACCACCTATAATCAGAGACCTCCGATTTTTAAGACTTAAATGTACACAAGATAGTCAGCGATACAAGCAATAGCCCATGGAAGAGCAAAAGAAAAAATTACAAGGAGACGTTTTTTGCACTCAGCACATGGACTTCAGATAGATAAGTAACTTCATAAAATATGAACCACTTCAAGACACTCACTTCACAATTTCAGGAAAGCTGCTAGCTTACGAACGGAATGGTATTTGAGTGTGCTCCCAGCATAATACTCATTCACTACACAAGTTGCTAGCTTTGTGCGTGTGTCTGTGTGTCGTGCTGTGTCGCAACTGTGCTGACTCCCTCAAGACTGGGGACTCTAGATTCTTTTTGAAGCCAAAACGCGTAATGTGTAATAATGCATAATTATGTGTAATATCCTCTCTTTATTTAGTTCTGTAAAAGACTGATGTGAAGTGTGGGATTTGTAATGAACACCAATGGACACTAAGGCAAAAATGAACATTATATCTATATATCTATATCTGTTGTAAACATTCCTACTCATATCCTACATTGGCGCTGCAATATCTGATGATGTGTCTTGAAGGTGGGTGGAACTTTTGAAACACTACAACTGCTTTGGGGTGGATTTTCTGGGAATGGGCTGATTTTATTTATTTATTTATTTGCCATTAGCTGGTGAACACAGACAGAAGGTATTTAGCTAATGTCACTGCTTGGAGGCTTAATATCAAATTGCAGCCCTTTAGCTGTAGCAACCTTTGCCTGGTTGTATTTATTAGGCTGTATAATATCAGCGGTTAGGCTAGCAGTCAGGATTGGTTGACACAAGAGGAATTCCCTACAGTTGTATGATTAAAGCATTTTGGGTATAAAAACAATATACTAAACTCTAGTTTTCAGCTGGAATAAAAATGTGATCTTTTATTTAAAAATAAATAAAATAGCTAGTAAAAAGAACTGAAAAACTACAAGCCTATTGTTAGACAGATATTCATTAGTCACACACACATTCACATTGTGGTTAATAAGCACTAAGAAAGTATATTTCACCACTGAAGTCTTGACTGATATCTTTGGCGGAAGCACTTTCCAAATATTTATTTTCCTTTAAACAGCACTTCAAAAATTACTCACAGTCTTTCAGTATTTAATTAACATTAACTGGCCAACTGAAAATTCTCATGAACTAGTCTGCCCACTTTTCCATCTTCTATACAAACAAAAAACATAAGCAAACACATTGTCTCTATTTGCATATGATATGTATTTTGCATTCAATCCAACATGGCAAGAGTGAGACCTTCACAATAGCTGACAAACAAGTTGTGCAACCCTGTACTTTGTTTATCCTTTGCATTATAAAGGTAGTTCCGCTCTTGGTTTTGGTCCTAGTTGTTGCTTTTTCTCTAATAACTGATCCTGGATCCGTTCCACTGCTGCAATTACTGACAAAGCTGTGGTTTGTAGGCAAAAAAACGAAGCAGTAACCCGAGCCCTCCTGTTCACACTGCACATGCTCACACAGACTCCCAGGCCCTGTTGCAAGCCGTGCTGAAATTAGCTCCTTACTGCCTCTTTTTACAGCAAATGGCACACCAGAGCAGTGAGGCCCAGCAAAGAGGGTGCCTTCCTTTGAGTGCATTTCCCCAGTGCTCTCATTTTACATAATTATACACTGCAGATTACATGTGCCACCAGTGTTAGCTCTTCATCACAGTGCCTTTTAAAGACAGTCAACCCTAATTCTATAGCCTGAAAATCACCACACAGAGGGTCTATATTTGGTAAAACATATAAACTGATCGCAGGCCAAAGCTGAGCAACTACAGCGGGCCAGCTACGGCTACAGTATTTCCCTACTTCTTATTGAATATCGTCACTGTCAAATCAAAACCCTGTCAAAAAATATTTTTTAATTTATTTTATTTACATTTTTATTTTGTCGAAAATGCTGCATTTTACACTGAGCATTTCATGATGAATGAACCAACAGCAATGGTGTAAATTACCTGGCATAAAATCTTGCAACATTAATTTATACATACATATTTTTTAACTTAAACATTATCTTAAACAGTTATCATTTTCGAGACAGGAGGTGACATCAATGAATTTACAGTACTAAATGTAAGCTAAAAATACCATATTGTGTAAAGAAACTGTATTCTGTTCCCGACAGTCTTCATATGACTCCACCTTATGCTACACAAGAGAACCTCTTCAAACAAGTGGATACCTAATAATTATGCAATGCGACAAATTAGAGGCTGCTGCTGTGTATAAAACATGCTTGCTGATGCCTTTTCATGTCCGTTTTCATGTTAAGGGTTAGTTTATCATCATGAGAAGGGTGGATCCCATGGCTATTTCAGATGAGAGCAGCCAAGCTTGCAGTTCCTTCCCAAGAGGCAAATTACAGGTCAAATACACTGCGCTGTACATCTCTGTATGGAATTTAGGCTGATGTTTCAGAGTGTGTGTGTGTGTGTGTGTGTGCTCTTTACATCCTTTTAGTTTGTTAAACTGAAATCATAAATGCAAAAAATACCAGTAGTAATGAATGTTCCATTATTGCTAGCAGGTAAGTTCCTACTACTACCAACACAAGAATCCACTACAAACGCAGGCCACAGGACTCATCATACATGCTCAGTAAACCAACGGATTCAAAGGATATCACAGTTTTAAAACCCCTAAACTGACGGCAAATTCATTACTAAATTTAAGACTTCGACTTCTGATTTTGTAAGAATTTAGACTCCATGTTGTGAAACAGACGTTTTAGTGCTTTTCAAACACTTTTCACAGCATTATGGAGATCCAGTCCTGAAAGGTTACGCAATATAGCCTATCTACGTGTGTTGTAATAGCTATGAAACAAAGGTTTCAGCGTAATGCTGTACTGTGGCATTTTGATAAAGCCTTGTCTGGGCACATCGAGGTGTTTCGTCACAGCCTTGCTTAGGAATCGTCTGGTGTGTCAGACAGAGGTATCAGGCAGGATATGCTTATATAAGTTAAGTTTTAAGCAAGCTACATTGTTACCATGTAGCCTCGCACCATAACCCAATAAGTAAGCTCTCGATTAGATTGATATCTTATACAAATCTAATCTTAAGCTTAATTGTTATACTCATAAACCACGAGAATGTTTATTCATACCTAACCTAACAGCTAGCAGTGCTGAGTTGTGCCATAAAACAAAATAAATATTTAAAAGAGGTAATGGACAATCTTTGATTTGTGCAATATTCCTTGATTTCATAACACGGGTGGATACTGAACAATTTCAAGCTAATGGTATTGTTTACTGACAGCACAGGGTATTGCACAAGTTTTTAGAAGCTTTCTTGCTACATGTTTTCAAAAACCACACGTTACTGGATGTCAGTACAATCATATGCAAAGTTTGGGTGCCCCTGGCACATTACAAGTTTTGTTGATCTTCTAAGTCAAAATAAGTTATGTGGTACTGTTTATGTTTGGTCATAGTGTCTAAGAGGAAGTGCTAGAGAAGCCAGGACAACAGCAGCTCCAGCTCAATAGCCACACCTTTATTAGTTCCCAGGAATCACCAAATACGTGCACTATTTACAAGTGATGAAAGCAAAATACAAAATGAGCAAACAAAAAATGAAACATAATTTACAAAATATACAAGGCTCAATGCAGCCTTTATATAAATTATATATCCCTTCAACTTAAGGCTTGACAACAATACAGGCTTTAGGCTATGAATTCTGTCCTCAGACAACTGACGCTGTTTTATGTCTGCAGGACTCTTAAAGAAGACTAATCTGTTAAGTTTACCTCCTTCAAGCAAGAAAGCAAGCCTCCCTCTGAGTTAAGCTGTGCTGCTTTTATACATTCCTCTTTCTGCCAAACATGAGCAGGTTGTACCACTCAGTAGTGACAGCCTCTTTCTCTTTTAGAGGTCTGTAGGGAGCGCTGCGGAAAACGGGTGGTTTCTACCCCTCCCACACAAGTTGGTGTTCAGGGCACGCATGTCCTTTTGCATTTTTTCTCCCATGGATCTGAAGGTAAGTATGCATTTTCTTTATCATTCTCTTTTATTTTTTTTCCTTAGGTTTCTTTAGATAAAGAATTAGATGTTTGTGTCTTCATATTTGATGTATTTTAAAAGTCAGAGTGTGCGCTGCCTGCTCCGATATGTACACTCTTTTCTCAGAGGCATTTAAATGAATATTTGTGTTCTTATACTTGGTCATTTCAAAGTCTGTTGCCAGTTTTCCGAAGAGGAGGTGTGACATCATAGACCTCATCTGGTGATGATGGCTTGGTTGTAGTCATATGCAAGTTAACATATCGTCTACAGAAAACACACTTCTGTACGTTTTAATCCACAATGACTGTTTACTGTTTTTGACAGTGTTTTGACAGCATTTAATATTTTATTTGATATGTTATGTTTCATTTTTTCCAATATGTTAAACCCAGCAAATAAGCAGAAATTATTTTCTGCAGTTTTTTTAGCACTAAAATCTATAGAAAAAAGTGAAAAACTACAATAGGTCATTATCTCATTGATTACGAACGTTTACAATGAACAGTAGTTCCTTTCTCACACTGATACACAGTGATGCTAGCTAACTAAACATTTCTGCTACATCTTACAGACAGAATTGAGCATTGTTCTCTTCTAAGCACATCAAGCAATAGTATAATGTTACATGGGCAGCAGGTCAAAAATGATGCAGCGATTCATGCAAAAAGAATGTGTTATGGCTCACATTCCCAGGCTGGTACCAACCGCGCAGGGAGGAAACTGGCTGTGATTGTACCAATCATGCAGGGAGAAAACTACCATGTGATAGAGGGGAAAACTTACTGTAACTAATTTGGGATATTTTTTTGGAGTGAAAAGCAATCATCAAATCTAGACCAGCAGAAAATGTAAACACAAAGAGTTCTGAAGGCCACAAGAAGCAGTAAATAACAACAACTCACAGACAGGCATGGGACCCAGGATCTGATCGTCTAAATACCACATCATTCCTTTATCACGACATGGAAATTATATGAAATCAGTTCTTAATCAGTATTCAAATATTCAACATAATGTCTGTCCAAGCACGTCTGCTCCCTAAATGTCACAAATACGTAGAAAAAAATGTATCATTTCTAGATGGTACATCTAAAACGGGGGGAGAAATATCAAAAGCTGACAACGTACCTTTTAACCTCTACAGCAATCATGTCATTTTATTTTACTTTATGCATTATAGAGCAAAAACTACTTTACAAAATACTTGATGATTATCAAAACTAATGCACTTCAGAAAATTAGTAATGACCACCACACAGCATGTTATCAGGCAAACAAGCCAAACAAAACACATTCACAGCATTCTATGAAGCCACAAAAAAACTCAGTTCAACCCTCTTTACCGTGTCGTACCCTTGAGCGATACTTCAGAAACAGTGTTCTCTTCCTCCAGATCTGTGGGGATTAAAAATGTGAAAAAAGCGCAAACACACACAGCACAGTCGCTGTACACCAGTCTTACACAGGCACAACAGCATGCCACCTGAGTTTAGACATCTTGACAAAGGAAATTCATGTCTGCACTGCTTTAATATTTTAAAATCTTTCCTGTTCTGTCAATACTTTTTCATTAAGCATATTAATGGTCTGCTGATTGTCATAATAATTGTAAACATAACTTTCCACCACTGTACTGTCTTCTTCTTTGTCTACCGTAGACAAACACAGTGTTCTCTGTGGTTAAAAGAAGCAGGACTAATGCTGACATTATCACAGTGTAAAAAATCAGTTTGAGCCTCGCTGCAAAACTCTGTTTGAACCTCGCCAGCTACTGATTTGATTCTTGCCCTCCCCAGTCAGCCTTGTGTTCCTGTAATCTTGTGGGTCCCACAGGAATTCTGCCTAAATCTCAACCTACCCTTCCTAAAAACTGAAAATAAGGAGGGGCTAAACATCACACTAACAAGCCATGGTCATAACTACAACAACCAAAGGGCAAGAAGCTTAATCAGTGAAGTTTATAGCTTATTTACATAGTGGCACTGACACCAAGCTCAAACTAACAGTGGCATTGACATTAACACAAACCAGCTATAAACAACTGAACATTATTTTCCTTGTAGCCAGAGAAAAAAATTAGAGCAAACTTTCCAGACACCAATTAAGGTCCAATCCCATTTCTTATTTTTACCCTTATCCCTTGTTTTTGAGTGTAAATGAGTTACAAGGGGTAGTGGTTTAAATCTTCCTCTACGAAATGGAACAACCTTTCAAGAGACGAGTTTTGAAAGACATTTACGATATGCCAGCCAGTATCATTTAGGAGTTGTGTGCAGCAAATTGGAGAAATGTTGGAAAATGAAGTCGTCTTCAATGCTGGAATGCTGGTGGATTGGTTTGTGGTATGTGGGATAGGCTGCAAACATGTTTTGTTGTAGTTAGCCTAGCTACATAGCATGCTAGTGTGTATAACGTTAGTGACTTTGAATTCTGTTAATGTTCGATGAACCCATTTGTGATACACACATAACGTGTTTATACTGATTTGTGTGTTGTTTCTCGCAACACTCCTGAAAAGCCTCTGTTGGAGGGCCATGTCGCCATAACACTTCGTCCTACCCCTCTATTCCAACAAGAATCCGGATACCACTAGGCATGAACACGCAAAATGGAGGGTTAGGCCTAAGTGGTAGGGGCAAGGAGTGAAATAGGATTGGGCCAAAGTTACATGCTGGACACCTAGATGAGTAACATCAAACAAATTTAATGATTTGTGTTGTCATTTTTGCACCAAGAAATGTCAAGGTTGATTTTGCTATTATTTCATTGAGTTTGTTTTTAAGACAACAGTAGAAACCATTATAATTTATGTCACTATGTCTGCTATCACATATAATTTAAAAGAGCCATATCCTATTTTTTTTTTTGGTATTTTATTTTGTCCACTGACATTCACTTATGACATTTGTGTGGGTTTGTGTACCAAACACAGTCATAATTTAGTTTTATGTAACCAATTTCCAAACTCTCTTTATCATTTAGAATTAAACAGGCTGTTCTTACAAGGCCTCTCTGAATGATACATATTGGCTTTGTGCATTGTGCCTCATTGAAAAAGCAGTCTGCACAGAAACACTCCTAATTACATCAGAATGAATGAACGGGGCTAAACTGATATCAGCTGAATAGAAGAATATGTAAATGTGTTGTTTTTGATGACACCTGTAACTTTATGGACTGGGGACAGAATTCTATATTTCAAAACAGTGTTTACATACTACATCAAACATGTTTTATTAAAAAAGAGGGAAATTCAGTTTTCCTTGATATAGGCCCATCAAATGGTATAGGATCTAATTAGACTTAATTCATAGCTGGTCTGAAAAAAAATTAATATCCATTATGCATAATATTCCTAGAATCTGCATTGATAATCTGTATGTGGGAAATCATCCCTGAGCATTGAATAATACAACACCCACACACTTCTTACCCCTGCAAGGCTGGAAAGATGTTGAACAGGTTCAGTGTGTTCTTTCTCACACTGATCACACACAAGCACTGAGGACTGACTGGAGCATTTCGACACTGTGCCAGAGCACTCCGAACAAAGACTGGATGAAGACTTCAGAGAGAGAGAAGGAAGTAGCGGACAGTTTAGGTTAAGAGGAGAAAAGAAAAGAGGAAAAAATGAGGGAAGTGAGCAAGAACACAAAAAACTCTGCAGAGACAGTGAGAGAGATAGAGCATGCTCACAACAGATAAAAGATCACACAATCTGATAGTAGCAGTACTAAAACTATTTCTCAGAGGTTTCTTAGGCAACCACACACACAACATTAAGCAAAATGTATGTAACAGATTTCTATCACAGGTGCGTCTGTATGGCTGCTATTTCAGTATTCTTGCTATTTGCAGCCAACAACAAAACAGAGGTCCCCGGTAAAAGGGGGTTTCCTGTACATACTGGTTCATACTTCCTGATCCCGCCCTGAAACGCTCACACAAACCCGCATACAGAAGAAAGACACACACAAACAGTGAACACTAAAAGGTAATCCTGCTAATAGCTTGCATTGTAATCTAAAAGTCTGAAAAGACCAACAATATATACAGTGGGGTCCAAAAGTCTGAGACCACTGGTAAAAATGCTTCTATTTGGCACTCCTTTCTGATTTAATACAGTATTTCATTAAAATTATATTAGCAGCATAACAATGTGTGTGAGAACATTAGAATCTTAGATTAGGAATTCCGAATTTCTTAGTATTTGGTTTGCCCCTTTTGCTTTAATGACAGCATTTGAGGTGGCATGTAGTCTAGAAGGAATAGAAGGAATAAGACAAAAAAATCTTTTTGCACAGTGGCCTTAACATGGTCACAAATATGCTTAAATTTGAACACTGCCTTAGAAATAGTAAAGAATCTTGAATATTTTATATTCCTTCATCTTTCTTTGTTTTCAGCTTTTCAAAATACTAAAACTTTCTGTTGTTACTTCCAGGTTTAAATAAAAAAATAACAGATTTTCATTGCAGTCTCAGACTTTTGGACCCCACTGTGCATTTTTTTTAACTAAGCACAGAATAGTCTGAAGAGTTCACACAACAAGAAAAACACAAACAACTAACGAATTAAACCATGCCTGCTGTGCCTGGTTATGATTGTAAATTGCAAATGCCACATTCTGCAAATGTATATGTAAATAAGCTGTGTGTCTCTGAGGTTGTTTGCATGACAGATGGTCCCGCCTGTGAAAAGGCACGAAACACTGGTTGGTGGTCAGACCGAACACATTTGATCAAGGTTTCCTTTTCAAATGCACCTTGACAGCGGAAAATACTGCTAGATATCATAAGACTAGGTATCATAAGGTACCAATAAGCCAAATAAAAGTATAAACAGGCTAGGGTGTAACAACATGGTAAACATGATAAGAGATTACAGTGATGCTTAGTATACCCTCACGTCATACTCTCCAAATCGCTTTTACAACACTTGGTGTACTAATAACTTCAGAGCACTGTACCCACAGTTTTGTGCCAAATCACCCTCTTTTACATCACTTACAATACTAAAACAGTACTGTGTGCTGACACTGATACTCAACATTGGATTTACTCATTAACTTGTTAAGGAACTGAAATTTGCACAGTGAGACTGCTTTGGCCCCCAGCTGGTGCTCTTTGCATGAGTGGCATTAACGAAGTGTTATTATAGTGACTGTAGAGTAAGTAGCATATTTGTGATTGTGACAGATATTACCTTGGCATCGTCATGCTGAAGGGACCCACTGTCCAAAGTGGAATGGTAGCCATTGTTCTCCTCTGTGAGAGAGAGATGGAAAGAAAATGAAATGACAGAACTGATAAGAGTTCACAAAAAAGTAATTATTACTATAACTAGGGATGCACAATGATATTGGAACCATACCAGTATCGTCAGACGCTTATCAGCTTATCAGCTTCAGATAGACATTTAGATTTGACTGATATTTCAATTCAATATTTGATGGAAGTATTTACTGTGTTCCTGAAAAGCAGACTGTTTAGGCAACTCTGGGAATCTGCTCTAAATTGTTTGCATTTTATTCACTGAATTTGTGGCCCTACGGAAATAAATATTACATTTCTCCATAATACTAGCCCAGGTAGAGCTAGACTCAATTTCTAGATTTTATAAATGTTTACATTTCGGCATCAACATCGCCATCAGCAGATTTGTGAAAAATATCGGACACTGAGATCAGCAGATCACAATTTTTGGTGTATCCCTAACTATAACCACTGTATCATCGTGGCAGCGCAGGTTCATTTAGAATTCAGATGATATAAGATCTGGAATTTAGAGTTTAGAACATGTCATATAATTCCAACGGAGAGTTCTAAGCAGAGACACTTGGGAGTTGCCCATCATTTCCTGTGTCTTACTCATCTTAAACTTGTCTTAGTCATTTACTACAGAAGTCTAAACAGCATATCTTGGCTTTCTGTCAGCCCTGTGAAGAATTACAGCAGCACATGCAACAGTCACAGCCCAGCTGTCCTCTTCTTTAAGCACACTCTGTCTTAAATCATTAACCCTTGCGCTGAAAACAGAGGGTTTCAGTATAGTCTGGTTTGTACGTGAACATCCCTGACATTTTCCCAATGCCATTTTCTAGTAAATAAAACTAAAGGCCTTTTTAAAAGAACATGCACTGTAATCACATTGCATACAGACATACGCAGCTGCTCAAAGCAAACAAAGGCTGACAAAATATGACCAGCCCATACTCATAAATGATTCAACATTTGCATGGCAAGCAGAAAAGTAAACAGCTTTCAAGACAACCCACACCAAAGTAGAAATAACAATAATAATTAAATAAATAAATGGAACACCTCATGTTCTCATCTAAAAACAGTCTGAATATTGGGAGGAATCTGTTCTGCTATTTTAAATTTACTCTGGGCAAAGCCTGCGTTTGGGTTGGGCTGCTGACGAGCTAAGATAAATTATCACAGGGTACAGATGAAAAGTCTCAGCTGGGTGTAGCTATCTCTTTACATGTGAAGAACCAGAGACAAACCACTGACAAAAAGAAGTTATGAAAAGAAAAAAAACTGCTTCACTATTAGAGTGGTGTCCATTTTATACTCGACACAGACGAAATGTGATAGACTGGGTGTTGACTGAAAGTGTTTTTTGGTGCAATATGTAATTTTAGTGTGATAGATTTTGCCCAAGTCTACTTCTTTACTGCTATTAGTGGTCTTCTTGAATAAAAACTTCACAACGTGCAGTGACACACTGTAAGAAGAAGTCCAGAGATAGCATACTCCTGCAGTCCAAACACCTAATCCTCAGAAAAGTATGACCACTGAGGACGGGAACTTTTAGTATGACTCTTCTAAAATGAGACTCAAAAACTCACAAAGCAGTTCGCAGAAATCTTTACAACTCTTGAGCTTTGAAATCAGATTAAGCTGAAAGTCGATGTGATACAAAACATCTGTTTCAATTAAATATGGCATAAAAAATATGGCTTAAACGTTAGCCCAGGGAAACTAGTGTTGATAATCACATGACTGTATCTGGGTAACTACATCATTGTGCTTCTTCTAAGTACTGTGAAAAGCACTCAGTCTGACTTCAGCAATGGCCCCACCTTGGCACTACAACCATTTGCAATCAGTCACAAAGTTAAAAGCTTCTTTCAACTTTACTCAGATATTTCCCAATCTAGAAAAAACAGCTGGCAAAAACACTCTACTTTGGTTAAATTTAAATAACACTGAGGCTAGGGTTAGTCCAGTTAATGTACAGGCTACTGCAATGCAGAGCTAGGGTTTAGGTAGAGGCTCATTTTTGTAAGTGTACTTCATAATTTTAGATTTGGCAAAAAAGCAACTGCACCTCCCATATACTCCCAGTGACTGTAAAGAGAGTTTATATAGAGAAAGACCAAAAAAGAAACCCTAACTTTATTTATTCATGAACTTAAACAGACATTTGTTTTATTTTGTGTTAGTAATAGCTGTAATTTATGTAAGTAAAACATATAAAAACAAAAAGGAAACCAATAAATTACCAATTTACTGTCTGGGCACACTGTGCTGAGCCCAATACGTAGTGTCACATGTCATATGTAGTTAACACTAGGCACAGTGACAAACCTCCACAGCTGTTTGGATTCTAGCTATTTTGTCTAAAGGGTTCCACAGACTAGGCCCTGTTTCCGTTTCTTCCCACACAATCAGGAAATGCCAAGAATCAAGCACAAGTTGAAGTGGTAAATAGAAAGCTGTTTTCAAGTGTGCAAATGATTTCTATTTTGAAAAAGGGCAATTGTTTTTACACTAAATTATTCAATGTTGGCTTAATAGTAGCCAGTCATGTGATACTATTAGAATTATCAAGAAATACTACTGGACTTGTACTTACATAAAATAAGCCCTAATTTGTACTTAATTGGTAAGATCCAGATAGCATTATTCTACAGTTTAGAGTAATGAGTCACAGCAGTGTTACATGTAGACTGATTTAAACATACATAGAGCATTTGAACTGTGTGCATGACACACAGTTTCACAACACTTTTTAAGCTCAGAGTGTGCGGAAATTATGAACTGGACTTATCAGGTTTAACCAACTATCATGGTAGTTAGATTAGCTAAAGCCCAGAGCTACCCAAAGCACATGTGTATGAAAAATAAAAAATAGTTTGGCAAATTTACATACAATATTCAATCAACTGTGCATATCTACACTATGTTTACACAGTCATATGAAACGGTTCTGTACAGAGAACACACTACTGCACACTGTAATGCACAATTACTGTTTATTTACTGAATATGACATATTGTAGCATAAAACATGTTCTGTGCAAAAGGTCTTGCCTTGTATTAAGCACTTGAATGCCACATTTACGTTCCCTGTAGAGGATGTGTTTACTTATTTTAACATATTTTCAACAAAACAGGCAATTTGACACAGTGTTCAAATATATAAAAACTATATTTAGAGCATTACATTATGATATATGTGTGTGTGTGTGTGTGTATATATATATACTGTTTACTTTGTGTTAATTAGTGATTTACAGGTATCTTGGACTTGATAAAAATAGATAACGAGTTTAGCAAACTTGCACTTATCTCTTATTGTGCCTACTTTTAAAACTTTAAAACTAACCATCAGATAACAAATCTTTGTCACTGTAGATAAGTTGCAAAGTTTACAACCTCTAGTATCACATGTTGTCAGGCTCACCGCCACACAACAAGGTAATTCTCCATGTATAATAAATCCATAACACACCCTACACATGAAAGGTCACTGGTGAGATAGAGATGGCAAAGGATGAGCCACTAGAGGATAACTCTGCTGGGGCTAAAAACCAAGGCGGCTTTTCTGCTACGCTAACAACCTCAGGTTTTGCATTGCTGGTTCTCTGTTGCTGTTATAAAGCATATGCTGCATGCTGCCTCGCTTTAAGCATTTATGGTGAGCGCGATCAGAATGAAACCGGAAATGAATTCTGCCCTGTTCAGACAGGAAACATATGATGCAGACGTTGGGTGGTTTAGCTTGCCAGTGCAAAATCACTACATGAGTGTGTATTTGTCTTTTGCCATAGCAACCATTCTGCTACTCACTAAAAAGACCCTGTGAGGTGGATCTCTGTAGTAAAAGGAGACTGCTGTACATGATAACGGAGTTCAAAGTATGTATATCTATACATGGTGGGGCTATAGTGGCGGTAAGTGAAAGAAGGTCCATTATGTGTGTTGATAAAACAATGCCAAGCTTTGATTATGTCCTCTAAACTGGATCATTAAATTTTATCATTCTAATGTTATCTTACCAGAAGCATAAAGTTCACTGTCAAATGCAACTGACAGTACATCAAGATGAACACACATACCACTAAAACGTCACATCATTTGTTTTACAAATGGGCAGAACTAATATAAGTCCAAACATTTCCTCTGCGCTTACTGTGTAATGTGTATCTTTGTTTAACAAATAGAAAGTTTAAATTAGCTTCCCATCATTCAATCTATTCACTCATAGTATCGCAACTTAACTGACCTAAGTGTCACTGACACATACATTTATTAAAAATTATATGATCAGCATAACAGTTTGAGTGAAAAGTAAAATCTCTGAAATGTTTACTTGAATTTCAGAATTTCTTAACATGTGGTATGTCCCCCTTTTACTATAATGGCAGAGTAGAGTCACGCTGATCAAATCCACCTCAATGTCATCTGAACACATTTATCCTGTTCTTACTTGCCTTTGTTAAAACATTTTCAAAATTAAAGATTTTTTAATGTGGTCTCAGACTTTTGGACCCCACCATACATATATACAAATACAGAATATAGAAATATAAATTTCTCAAGCTGTGGGCAGAGATGTTACGTCTTGTGACACCTCACACATTTAATGCACGTGTGTTTGAAACCTCATCTCCCTCTGGGTAGGTCCTAAAATGTGAGTCCTGATCCCATTACACTTCTTAAGTACACTCCTTTATATATTTTATCACTGTGCTGGAAATGTGTCTTTTCACATATTACAATTACTTTTTTCCACAGAGACACACATAGTTTGGAGGTCAGAGCCACAACACATGGTCAGCTATTTATACAGGACACCATGGGTCACTCTAGCCTTACAGACCCAACATCTTGTGGCAGGACTGGCTGGTAATGATCCCTCTGCTGCTGCCAATAACTTCTACCATCACCCCATCCACTGTGTATGAAAACCTTGCCTAAGAAAGCACTTTTAAAGAACCATAAAAGTGGTTTCTGCTCATGGCGTTCTCTGGTTATGTTTTGATAAGCCAGATTAAGGAGGAAGAGGGTCATGCCTAGCTCTGTGTTTCAGTGTTTTTGCGAAAAAAGGGCTGTCTCAGGCAGTTGACTGAGAAAAATAGCAACTGCTGGGTGACAGAGTATTTCCACTGTATGACTACACTGAGAGAGAGAGAGAGAGAGGGAGGGAGGGAGAGACTGTTTTCTCCTAAAAAGGATTCCAGATCTTCGGGAGGCCACTTTTTAAAGGGGACGCTGATGTAAATTCAAGCCAAGTTAATTCGGATTCTACTAGACCCCTTGTTGCCCACATCCGTAAACGATGGCCTTGATTTTTAAACATGATTTTCGACATAAAATCTGTAACCTAGCTACAAACGGCCACACTGTGTTTAAACGACGATTTATTCATTAAAACTAAAAAAGATCCTTTCAAAGTAAAAAAAATAAAGTAAATCATACAGTTTAAAAAAACTTCATTTCAGTCTTTCTTCTCCAACTTCAAGGTTTGAGCTAGCATACAAGCGAGAAGCTAACCGCCTGAACTCATGAAGCTAACGTTCACTTCAGGAGCGCATTTCACCTCCTCGTCTCAGAAGCGGAGCACAAACAGAACTTCTGGACTAAGGAAATATAAGTTTTCCCGAAGAAAAAGGGGGTCTGTGTGTTTCAGTGACTGAATCTACGTAAGGTTATCTGAGCTGTGTCAGTGGAGTTCATGTCCTCTCTGACTGACGCACCGTTATTTAGTGGTTCTTCTTCTGGACACTCACCGCCACTTGGAGAACCGGCCTCGCTCATCTCAATCAGCGTCTCCTCTTTTGACTTTCCCGTTCCCCGAGTCATCTTTGAAATGTTTCACTTGCTGTTAACACAGAGAAAATACCGGACCGCCGTTTATTTCTGTGCGGGACTCCGTCCACCAGCCTCCGCCCCAGATTCCTCACCGCGCGAGCTCAGCGCCTCCTCGCCTCGCGCACTTTCAGCAGAGTGGTCTCAAAGCACATACTGCAGCTACACGACCCGCCGTTAAAGGGGAGGAGCTCAAGAAGGGCAGTAATAATATCGGAGGTACATTAAAACCAACAGCACAGCGGTGAGAGCGTCACAGCAAAGAAGCAAAGATTCAGATCATTAGACAAAGTTCACTGGAGGGATTCCTTCTGAATCGATTCGTTCAGTGTTTCAGGAGCGCGCAACAGAGCGGGAACCACAGCGGCACCGGTGAGCTGCCACTCCACATTACCCTCAACTGAGGCTTGTAGGCTCCTTAACATGTTGTGCCTTAGAAGTGAATTATTTTAGACAGATGCTCTTTGCACCCTGATGTAATTAGCAATGTGTACAATGTGCAATGTGTACAGTTTGAAAACAGCATCATATATACCCTGGTGTAGACAGCATCATATACACCCTGGTGTAGACAGCATCATATACACCCTGGTGTAGAAAGCAAACTATACGCACGGGTGTGAATAGTTATGTAGGTTATTTGCACCCTAGACTAAATAAGGATGCGTACTATTTGCGCTCTTGAGTAATTGTCTAATGATTAGACTCAACTTGTTTATGCATAGCTTTCATAATTTGTAGTTATTGTTGTGATAGTGTTTTGCTATCCGTTTGCTGATTTGTTTGCTGAAACTGATTTGTTTCAATAAAGTTTATCAGTGATGGCACTGATAATCCCACTAATGTGAAACATGAATGTTTTCCTTTTTTGTCCTATATACGTAACTGCACTTTAATTTCTACTCTACAAAAAACTGAACACTAGTAATTATTTATTATTGATGCCCTGTGATGGACTGGCGACTTCTCCAGGGTGTTTCTTGCCTTCTGCCCAGTGACCGTTGGGATAGGCTCTGGCAATCCAACCAAATGTTACATAAAAGTGCAAGAACATGTTTTCATAGCTTTGTCCACTATAATCTTCTTGTCTCTACCTTTCTCTTACTATTGTACATAGTAGCATTCCTCCTCTTTAACAATGGTAAAGCTTTTTAGCTGGTTTTAAAGGTTCCATTACCATTCTGCAGGCTTTTCTGGCAGAATTTTTCACAGTCCCACTGCCTGTGTATCAAAGAAGTGTATGGTAAACTATAAACATTCTTGAAAATTTCTCCAGTATTTCAATGAATTTGATCAATTCTGTTAGAGCTGCATATATGGATACATTTTGGTGCAATACTTTCCTGAGTTTCTGGAAGTGGCTCTCAGTTCTATTATTTGTGTTGTTACCCATGGTGATAACTTTTTTCTGAGCATCGCCCTGTGTCAAAAAGTAATCAACAAATTTTTGGTCTTGGCATAGAATTTTTCCAAACATAGCTGATATAGCTCATTGGTGTCACTGTGTAAAATGGATGCCAGTGTGGTCAGAGGATCTTTCGTTGCTTGCCTTGTGAGAAGCAGCTCTGCTATTCCTTTCTTCCATTGTCTTATCACATGGATAGAGCACAGAAATACATGAGTACCTTCAAAGTGTTCATGTAACACTTTCATTTGGGTGGCATCTTTATCCACCATGAACATTTGAATACTGTTCCACGTGGTTCCGTTTCTCTCTTTGAAAAGGGCATGCATTTGAGACAGGTGCTGTTTCTCCTTGTAGAAAGGCATATGAGACATGCTCTCCTAAGCCCTGTTCATCCATTACTGCAAAGCACTGAAGAATGTAATCCTTCATGTTTGTTTTATAGGTGGCATCTACAAAGACTATGTCTGGATTTTTTCTTTTGGAGTGCCTGTCTTATCATCTAGATGAAAATCATTTGAATGCTTCCACTATCATCTCCCAACATCTCAGCTGTATGGCCTCTATCTTGCAAACCATTTAAAACTCTGACAAGGTGCTCTGCAGCTGTGTGGTCACTCTGCTCTGCTTTATATTAAGTAGATCCTTTAATTAAATTTTTTCATGAACCCTTTCAAGGTGGATGCTCTGACATGATAATGTTTAATAAACTAAGAATTAGCTGCAAATATGAAATAGAAATATATATCTTATATCTAACTTTATTATATTCATACTTACCTTAAACTCTACCCATCTTTCGATTTCTTACCTTTCCTCTACAGGATGATTATGTTCTTTCATCGCTTTAGAAAAAGTAAATTTGCCCACTTTCCTGTGTCTTAATGAATAAAAAGATCTATCATGCTTGTCTGCAAAGTAAAACAATGAAAAAATACAAAAATAAACTCATTTTAATTTTTAGCCATAATAAATGTCTGTAGTAAAACAATTTCAACCATCTTCATCAGAGAAGCGTAATCACCTGAAGAGCAGAACTAAAGCTAATGTGCATGGCAAATAAAAATTGGACTTGGATCACTCTCTGTAGGTGTCAAATAGCAAGTTCTCTTGGCAGTGGATACATGACAGAGCCAATCTAGAGTACTTATTCAAATCTGCAGGAGCTGAATTTATTATTTAATACTATTATTTATTTTTTCTGATCTCTCTTTGTGCATTGGATGGTGGCACTGTGCACTTCATAACCTCACTGCTCTCTCGTATTCCTAATAACTGTCAAATGACTCTCCTACACAAATTGTCCTTATTTGAGAGTAAACACTAATATCCATCATCATTACAAGCCTGGCATGATACAGCAATATCACACAATTCAGTTATTGAAATCACACCTTCACTGCTTAATCAATTTTAGAGATGAGCCTATATGGAAACAGCCTGCCGTACAAACAATGGTACTTAACTGCTCTAAATAATTGAACTGCACTAAGCTACCACTACTGTTATAATGAGCTAACATTAACATTAAATCACTGAAGTTCTCCACAGCTTTTCAGTTTACAAATTTGGAGTCAGACACGAGTTAGGTACAGACAGCCAGCAGTGGGGAAATACCATGAGTTTACACTTATTAACATAAACTAAGCAGCTGTAATGTGAGCTAATCCTAGCTCAGCTTGCCAGAATGCCACTGCAAATATAGAGTTAGCAAGCTGTTAACTAAGTCAGCAAGCTAACTTTAGCTCAAACTTAACAGGTTTCGCCCAACTAGCTCAGTTCACCAAAACCGCCATTGCACAGCTATTAAGCTAGCTCAAATAGCTTTTACACAACTTTTCATTTCTCCAAAAAAAAACATTAAAATACAGAACTAGCTCACTCTTTATAGTTACTGATTTAAAAAACCCTGATTAATACCCTATGATTTAAGTTTTAGCAATTAAAGCAATATTTTGCAAGAATTGGTATTTTTTGTTCTTGGGCTCTAGTTTCTGAGTTTAATTTTTTTTTACACCACTGTCAAAAATACAAATCATGCTTTCAGCCCCCCTCATGTACAGCTGTACACGTGCGAATTGTTGACAAGCTGAAGGATACAGAATCCAATTCCCCTTCGTGTGCACGCACGTCACACAGCCATATGGACAGTACAGATTACACTTGAGAGTTCTGTTTCTATGTGTAAACAACCGTGAGTGTAATCAGAGGAGAAAGAACCATGTTGACCTGCAAGGTAGAGTAATATTACAGGATTTTATTACAGGAGGTTGCTAACTTTCAAAGCTTATTTGGCATGATATTGACAAAGGCTGACTTTTTGGCGTGAGGTGAATTTATTTTTTTAACCTGTCTTGCATCATTGTATCTATTTAAGCTCTTGTCAACGAGTGATAGCCAATCCGAGATTTACTCTCGTCCAGTCTTTTGCTCTGTCTCTCTCTCTTTTTCTCTTCCTCAGGTAATGTCGTCTTCTTCATCCTTGTCGGAGCTTCTGCCATAATGTCCTTACTAGGAATACTAAGCTTCTTCTTTTAGCTAGCTGAAGACTTGTAATTGTCATTGTGTGATGAGCAAAGCGCCATGCAGTTGTTGCGAGAGGTTTCCTGCTTGCTCCTCCAAGGTTACATGACGCTATAGCAGGCATTCCAGCCCCGGAGTGGCAAAGACAGAGACACCATTCTCCCTATTATAAGTCAATATACCATCAAAATGATTTTGAAGCTGTCATTTTAAAGTAAAATTGTTCCATAATGTTGCTTTATTCAACTGATTACTGAATCACTTCACCACCACCTCAAAACCTCATCAGACCAATGCATAATTTCTACTCTAATACTTGCTTAAGCATCCAGTTGCCTGTTGCTCCAATTGCAATTTTAGGTTGCCACACATCAGTTACCTCTGAACCTCATTTTCTTTATTGTCTGTTAGCATAAAATATGTTTGCTAGCTAAGTTGGCCAGCCAGCAAGTAAAGGTTATTTTTTTTCAAAATGGCTCGATATGCATTAACACAAGCATTAAGGACTTTGGTGTTTATGTCAACATCTCTTAGTTAACACTATTGAAGTATGGTAAATGGCAAATAATTGTCTAAAATTCAACTTTACACAACTTAGCTACCAAAATTATGAGGCAAATTCTACTCACTCTTCTCCAAAAGCAATTGCTAAAATTCTGAAATTGTGCCTTTTCTGCAACCCTGCGCTCTAACAGGGCAGCCACTGACAGACACGCGCATTTGTGTTTGTTTGCCCCTTTTCTTGTTGTGGTACAAATAGCTGTAGCCGATGCTTCTTGCACCCTGGTGCAAATAGACACTCTGATTATTGTTTAATTAAACGGCCCATATCCTACATTTTTCTCATATTTTATTGTTTTACATGAGGTCCACTGGTAATGTTTGTGTGGTGTTATTTACAAAAAAAAACAATCATAATAAAATTTTACATCACCATTTCTTCCCTACCTCTGTTTTTCCTTAGAATTAAAAACTTGTTTTGTGCCTTGTAGACTGATACATGTAAATAACCTCTGTTGTGATTGGTGGCCCTGTATTAAGCCACATTCAAAACCCAGTGTAAGCTGAATAGGAGTGGCTAAAGTTTGTAGTTTACACTGAATAGGCAGATTTATGTAAAAGCATTGGTCCTGAGATAGATAAAAAAAAGCTTTTCGCTGGGTTCGAACAAGAGCCTGAAACCACAAGCATATTGTGGTGTCAGCAGGCAAGTCACTTCAAGCCATGTACTTTCACTCCATGGAAGACACTAGCCCACTCAA